TATTAGTTTTGTGTGATCAAAAGTTTAAAACCTGAAGGTATTGAAAATGCTCACAATTAAGAATCTGCAGCTCGGGAAAGTTTGGCATTTTTTCTTGAAAAATTGCTAAAACAATAAATCAATTATAATAGTTGCTAATTATTTTTCCTTTTGATCAACTAATAGATTAATCGATTGCTCATTTCAGCTCTATTTAGAACTAAGAAAACCTGCAAAAATAAATATGAGGAAAGTCAAACATACACAAATGTAACAGGAAATTGCTGTTTATTTTAAAAATAATGTATTTGACTTTTTTATTATTATTAGTCTTATTGAGACTAAAAAACATCAACAAAAATGATTATTAACAGTTGTTGTAGGTTCTTATATTTATGTGTTTTACTTACATGTTTTATATTATAGGATGTAAACTCTGCACACTTTGTGTTTTTCAAGTGTAAATAAAATGTTTTATAATATAACAATAAGACGAAACAATAAAGTGAGGACACTAACAAACATCCTTTATATAAACCTATAAAACATCTGTCGCTCCGTCTTGTTACGAGTGGCGTCCCTTTTAGTTCCTCGTGTAGAAAATGTAAAGTTGGGCTAACATGAGAGCTACGCTAATCTCATTTTGTTAACAGCTTTATTTGACCTTTGTTTAACCAGGAAGGCCTCACTGAGTATCTCACAATAGAAGACAAAAGCAAGACGCAGAAGAGACACACAATTTAAAACTAAGAAATAAAATATGTCATCTGATGTGTCACTTGCAGCACCTCACATGGAAAAATAAAGTTTAAATAGATAAATAAAGGGAGGCTAAATAGTGTTTCTGATGCATGTGAGAAGAGGACGATTTGAGCGGTCTCTGTTTCCCTACCTGCTGAGCCATGAGCTCCAGTCTGCTCTCCAGGGTGTTGGCCACCTTGATCTTCCCGTTACCGTTATAGATCTCAACACCTCCGGAGCTGAAGCAGGAGACAAACACCAAAACAAGAGAAGTCAAATAGAGAAAATACTCATCCAATAAGTTTTAACTCGACGATCAAATGTGATGCCTCTTACACGTCGGGGGGGATGAAGTTGTCCTGGTCGATGTGGACCTCGATGCTGGTCTTCACAGATGCTTTATATATCGGAATATTCCTCTGGATGGATGCCTGAGTCAAAATGAAAATCAGTTTTCAGCTGATTTTAAGGAGCTGACTCAATATATATATTTGGTTAGTAAAGAATGTGATTTTGAAATGGATAAACATTAATGTTAACATGAACATAGTGGCTAATTTACTCACCTGTACCATCTTAATGTCCTGTTTGCGGCAGCGAATAGTCACTTTGGTCTCCAGAAGCTGATATAATCCCTGATGTGAAAGATTATGAAAGGGATATCAATGCTCAGTATTCGATATCAACACCTCTTAATGAACATATACGCTCAGAAACCAGTTTATTAGGTACACCTGGCTAAAACTAAAGCAGTCTGACACAACAATCCTCTTTCATTAAGGTGAAAATGTTACATTTATGGTGTAAATTTGGAGGATGCGGTTAATAGGTGCTGCTGAACTGTAATGAGTTGGACGTTTCTACTATTTGGTACCCTCATTGATATGAATAGGGTGGACGAAATAACAGAAACGCAGGCTTTACTGCGCGGCTGTACCTGGTTGTGAAGTAGCTGAGGGTGTAAAACTAACCTGTAAGATCAATCCGTCCATCAGAGCTGGATACCTGGCTGGATCTTTTGCGATGGTACCGAGCCGCTGGCGTGCCTCGCTCAGCATTTCCTGAGCGCACAAATACACACGGGGGTTTCTATTAATTACAGACTGTATCATCTACAGAATCCACATCTCTTCTGTAGATGAAATCTGACAGTTTGATGCCAACAGGAGGATACAGCTGCTTACCGAGATCATGTCATCCCGGGCCTTCAGCACCTTCAGTCGAGCCTGGTTCATCAGGTTGGACATTTGACTGTTAAGTAGACAAATAACACACACATTGGGGCCCTTTAGACTCTTTGGAGCAGGTTACAAAAGAGTCATTGTGGGACGAAGAGACTAAATAAAGTCACGGAAACTCTGCGCCACACATACAAATATTTCTTTGTTCTTAAAAAAAGACCGGAGTAAGGAAGGGAGGACTTGATGCGTCCTGTGATTTCCCGCCGTGACTCACATTTTCTTCTGCTGCTCGATCTGTTTCTCCTTCTTCTCGTAGTACTCCATTATCTTCAACCTCTGAGTTTGGACCAGCCGGCCTTTCTCGATGTTGAACTCTTCTTCCGCCTGCAGGAGGAGACACAGTTCACTCAGCAGAAATCCTGCATCACAACACTGTTTCTGTGACCAGTAATCGGTTCATCTTTACTTTAACTATCGATCACTTTAAAAGGTTTAATATATATTAAAAACCCTATTCCAGTAAAATAAAAAATAAACAAACAAAATAAGAATATAACTTATTACCGCATATATCCATGTAATATGACTAAAAAGCCATATTTTTTGTAAGACACTAATGCTTGTGATAAAAATGTCAATTATATGTCAGGTGTCAGATAATTTCCTAAGATTTTAAAGGGTTGAGGTTGTGTGAAATCTGCCAGTAGACTCACGTTCATATAAGCACTTACTGTGCTTTTAGCGCCCCTAGTGGTGAGTCTCAACCAGGAAATGATGGTGAGGACTTTAAAACATTATACTCACTTGTAATCAATCAAAGAATGAGTTTAAACAATTGTTTTCAGCATTTCTCTCTCCTCTCATCTCTCTACTGTTGACTCCAAAAATAAATTGTCCCCAAAAACTACTAAAAAGGGAATGATTAATAATGAATTCTACTCTCTATCCACATTATTTTACCTTTGCATCAATTTCTTCTGCCTTCTCATTGGCCTCCTGCTCGATGAAGGCCATCATGTGCTTAATCTGTAGACAGGAAGAAGAAACATTAATGACAAAGACGACTGCCCTTCCTTAAAAATACAACCCATTCCCTACATGTGTAGGGTTTTAAATGCCCACAGCTTCATCATGAAGCATTGATCCTTCTTAAGTGTGAACTTTAAGGACTGCAAAGTGTCACCGCTCTCACAATGAAACCAGAGATGAATCCTCACCCTGATGTGAACGGACTCTGCTGCCTCACTCTATCACTGTGGTGAGTAGTGTTTCTGTCACTTGTGGAAGAAGTATTCAGATCCTTTACTGAAGTAAAACTACTAATATCACACTGTGAAAATACTCCACGACAAGTAAAAGTCCTGCATTGGAAACGTTTAGTGAATGTGTCGACTGTGCAGTAAAATGTCCCATGTCAGCGTGTTTTACTGTAATGTTTCTGGATTCATATTGCTGTTTAATCCACAATTAAGGCCCCAATCATTTTGGAGGTACATGGTGTTCACTTTACACGAAGGGGATGACAATGTAACAGCTGTCAGACAAATGTAGTTGAGTACAAAATACAATATTTCCCTCTTGAGCTTTGAGAGTACAAGTACAAAGCTGCATAAAGTACAAGTACCTCTAATGTATTCTTAATTAAAAGCACATTCCACCAGTGATGAACACTAGACCCGAACTGTAATCACATGTACAGACTTCTGCAGCTTTGCATTCTCCCTTCAGGAGGTTATTTCCAGTGTCCAGACACTCACTCCCAGTTCCTCATCAGACCCTGGCATGTGTTCATCATGTGATCATTTGGAAATATGAACCTCGGCATCTCAGCCATGACACTGGCTTAAAAATGGCGGTTTATTTTGTATTAAGGAGCATATTTACGACCAAAGCCACCAGTCAAAATCACCCTAAATAACGTATTCTAGCTTGTTTGTGTTCATGTCGGTGCTAACCTACTGCAGCTCTCTCAATGTCATTCTCACGCGCACACACACGCACATTACAGCTATTATAAACACGTCTCAGTGTTTTAATAAGACGATTGGCGACGTAAAGACTCCGTTAAACGTTACCGGTGAGTGACAGATGAATGGTGACGTGTTTGAAGGTTAAATCGCTTCATTACCTGCTTCTGAACGTCGGCATCGCTGAGCGCCATGGTTGCAGCTCTTGAAGATCCTCGCGGGCCTACGAGGAACGATAACGACAAAACACAAAAAATAAAACAACTGGGAAATAAAAGACACCTTCAATAACAACAAGGATATTTTAGTCGTGCAATAAAAGCTTTGAATATGTGTTTATTTACCCAAAAATCACAGACGAAGAGGTATGAATTAATCGCTGCAGTCGTGACTCGTAAAGATGTCTACGGAGGATCAGGTGATCTGCGACGTCACATGATGTTTACTTCCGGCTCAGCAGCCAATCAGGTGCTAGAACAAGAGACGAGTTTTTTCTAGTGTAGAAAAATAGGGTTTGCGTAGTGTTTGTCATTTTATGGCTCATTTAGTTATACTGCATATGAATATATGTATTTGAAATATTATATCTGTATAATATACAGTTTTTTGTACATGTACACAATATACATGTTGGTGCTATGCAAGTGCAACATATAAAAGCCCCCTGGCATCATTTCCAGTCTTGTAACACATCTAACCAGTAGAGGGAAGTAGAACTTGGAAAATTCAACTATCAAAATAGCTCTTCTTCCTATCTGACGTGAGTTTTCCACTTAGTGTCACCGGCTCACAGCAGCACACTGTGGACTGACTGATCATCTGCTGTTTGAACAGTGGACATAAAACTCCATACACTTGTTTACCCGAAAGAAACGCTCACCCACTGACCTTTCAGAGACTGTGGACACACCGGGTAAAGTCTGATTCAAGAGTTCAACTAGTTTTTTTTCCCTTTTTATTTACATTATTACTAATCTTTCTCATATTGAACACACAGCAAAGTCACTACTGACTGCTCTGCAGCCAACTGTTATGTCATGTATCTGGGAAGTGGGGTGGGTGAGAGAGAGAGAGAGAGAGAGAGAGAGAGAGAGAGACTTTTGCACAGCTTGTCCATCTTGTTAGTCCTTTGCCAGCTACAGCATGCATGTCTGCCTATCTGTTGTTTGGTGGCTTTGTGTCTGAATGAACTCCTCGCTCTGATCTCCAGCATCTGCTTTACATCTAGCAGCTCGTTCAGCACCGCACCAAGAGGACGCAGGTATGATAGGATGGTTTTATTCAACATCGCAGAAAGTTTTAACAAAGTCTGAAATCAGAAGAAAGAAAGAAGAATGTCAAAATCAGATGTTTTTCCCCTCCGTTTGTGCTTTGTTAAAAGTGTGTGCTCTGTAAACATGTCTGTGTTAGAGGGGTCACTGTGGTTCACTCTGGTGTTGTGAAGGGCACAATCTCACCTTGCAAGAGACAGAGAGGCTGCCATGAAGAGCTGGTTTCTCTTATCTCCACCAGTTCTCCCATTTTGACATTGAAAGCTGACCCTTTTGTGTTTTCTTGTTTGTGAAATCCCTCTGTCTTCATCACACATTAGCACAAACAGAGTGCCCTAAATCTCCCTGATCATTTACTTCACCGTGAGGTTGTTATCGCCGGGATAGGATTAATGGGAATCCAATTACTTAAGTAGGCCAGTAAGTAAAGGGGGGTCACAGAGTAGAAAAGGTTGATTAGTTTCTCTGAAGGCAAGGACACAGGTGAAGGGTTTAAAATGTTTGCGTGGCAAACTTGAAGGTTTCTGGGATTGAAGTCTGCACAGGTCTACGGGGCACACAGCTTGGGTCAGACAACACGGCAGCTAGTTGGCCATTAAATCAGTGACGTCTGCAAGGCGTCTGTTTCAGTCTGCTCACTCTGGAGGAGGTGGAGTAACACAACAAAGGATTTTGATCATGACAGCATGAGAACACACAAAGGATTCAATCATGAAATAAAACATAAAAAAAAAATCATAATGCTGAAACAGAGACCTGGGCATTAATAATCAGGAGATTTAGCTCTTTAGCGCTGTGTACTGGGAAGGTTTATTCAAGGCCTTAAAAGCTTTTTTATTGATTTTCTGACCAGGTCCTAGAGTCAGAAGGTTTTATTGCACAAATGTAACCAAACTGTTGTGCAACAGTCAGGAAGGTGGTTTGCTTTCCTTTCTTTGCAAAATAAATAGTGTTTCAGTCTTGGAATGCAAGTGAGTGCATGTGTTAAAACAATAACAGTGACTATTCATGTGAAAACATACTTAATTTACTAATAGGACCTATTTACACAAAATGTGTAGATGTGAATGGGGGAGGACTAAAACTGCACTGAGGTAGGGACGAATCCCAAAGCAGCCACTTAAGACTTGGACAAGTTCTTCGACAAAATCGAAACAAAATACAAAATATTTTTAAGTGAAGTTTAAAAAATAATGAAGATACAAATCAGTCAGTATCACATATTGATCCTCCCCTGTCTTACTGTTGTTGTGGAGTCATTGATGAGCAGGTACTCATTTAACAGTACCACCAGGATTGTCTAATTTTTCTATGAACAAAAAAACCCATCAATATTTCTACATATAGTGACTTCAATAAATACTGATCTGCAACATGCTTGTCCACATTTTTGAACAGGTCAGTGTTCTCATTGACATCAGTGAGGCCGTGGCTGGAAAAAGTAGCTCACTGGCTGCTCCGTATTGCAGCGGCTGTGACTATCTATAGCCTCGACCTGCATATCTTACTATGTTTAGGCACTATTTACACCTCCATCTGTCTCCAAAGAGTGGAAACTATTTCAGTGATTTCACATGACGTGAGAATCGGACAAGAGTAGGAACGTAAAATGGAAGTGACGTATTCATAATGTCGGAAACACCATCATGCCATCAGTTCAACTCTTCCCAAGACATTAACATTTTATCTCAACTGTATAAAATCATAGGTTCTGGAAAGAACACTTTCCAGATTGAGGATGATGACATTAAATCAGTCTCAAGGGGACCTTCTTCACCCCTTGTTCCACATTTCAGCTTTGATTGCAGTATTTGCCTCCATGCCAGCCCCAGAATAGATCTCCTCGACACTTTCTCTCTGTGTAATGTTGTATCACATTTGCAACACGTGGCCTGTCTTGTGTTTTCTCTGGTTTCAGAATATGTCTCTTAACAAGGCGCTACAGGACGAGCACTCTGAAGTCTGAAACCCGGTTCTAGATTGAAGCCATTTCTAAATTTGTAGGAACCCAGATCTTAAAAAAGATTCTGGCAGACTTTTTCAATGACAGTGGTATCAATGTTCTCCTCTAACTCTTGGCCAGACAGCAAATAAGTGTTGAACTATTCCTTCTCCACAAACCTAGAAGATGAATGATGTGTTTGCCAGTGCTTCAAGATTTTGAATGCACCATTAAATGCCACCTGAAGCTTTTTCCTTTTTGCTCTACTGCAACTGCACCACTGTGCCTTATAGACTGGAGTACAGTAAGCTGTAAAGAGAGCTGTTACTTAAAGTAAGAAAAGGAAAAGGTCCCTGTCAGTGTTGTGTTATTATATTATTGGATTATTAACCCATTAACACATAAGCAGTATCTAATGTGATCAATTTAGAGCTCATTTTAACTGTAACTATCTATCAATTTAGTGGAGTACAAATATTTACCTCTGAAATGTAGAAGAACTGAGTAGTACAAAATGGAACTACTCAAGTAAACTACAAGTACTTCATAATCCTGAAGTGATCCATCTTGTCTCTGCAGCAGCCAGTCTTCATTCTGGAGGGAAAGGCCCCAGTCGAGTCCAGCAGGGGGGATGGAGGAGGCGGGGAAGCTGGTTCCCTCAGCCCTGATGCTCTGCCTCTGATCCATGCTGAGAGTCCCGGACCCTGGCAGAGCGAGAGCCTGCTGGCAGAGTCCTGGTCCACAATGGGCGACGTGGACCCCGACGACACCAAGAGCCTGGACAGCAACGACGGGGGGGTTCTGGGCGGGGAGGAGAACCACTCCTTCAACTCCGACATGGTCCACCTGGAGCGAGAGGAGGCTGAGATGCTCGAGCAGGCAGAGAAGGCGAGGAGGACAGAGGAGGAGGAGGAAGACGACGAGGAGCTGCAAACGAGCGTGATGAGTGTTTTAGGAGGGGAAAGGGAGCTGGTGGAGCTCAGTGAGGAGGAGCAGGACCTCCACGCCCCAGAAGCTGAGGAGCTCCTGGTGTCAGCAGAGGAGCCTCGCGTGGAAAAGAAGAAGCCTGCAGAGTTCATGCAGGTGGTTCCCCCGATGGCGCTGCCTCTTCTGCCTATCGTCATGCTCGACCCCCCCTCCACCACGTCCACTCCGGTCCCTTCAACCACAAGCTCTGAAGCTGAGGAGCTTTACCCCACTCAGGGGCTCCAACCTCCTTCTTTCCTTGCACAGGTGGAAGTGGAGCCTCCATCAGAGAGGCAACTAAAATTCTCACAGATTCCCCTCTCGGATGTGGAGGAACATTCAGTCCAGTCCTCTCAAGCAGCACCAGAAAAGCCGGAGCCACCACACCCCACTGCTCCCAAGACTCCCAAACATCTGAGCTCCACTGAGCTGCTGTGTGGAGGCGCTGCTTTAGTCGCCGTAGTGGGAGTAGTGGCCTACGGTGCTGTGGCCTACTGCCGAAAGTAGTCTCCTTCAACGCTGAATCACCCTCTCAATACAGGTTTTAAAATCTATTCCAAATGAAAATATTCCACTTAACTCTCTGAATTCTGGATTTTACTCTCTCAAACTCTTTGTATTGTAGTTACTATTGAACACATTCAGATTCGTTTTGTGCTACCTCAGCTCATGGCCTTTGTTTTTCCTTATTCAATAAATATCTGATCTCTGAGATGTAAACCTGGAATGTAAAATCACGTGAAGGTAGAATTTTAAAGAATCCTGAAACTTGAAATGTTTCTTTGTGTGATTGTGTCTGTTATTACTTCACCGGCGTTTCATATCAGTGTTCAATTTGCATGATATCAACTGCATAGAAATCTCAGTCCAGGTCTCAGTTGGATTGTTACCATGATCACACACAGACGTACGACAGTAACAGGCAGCGAAAAATATATCAGTGAATAAAAAGTGAATGAAGTTACAATAGCTTTCGTCCACTGCTGTTCACAGTGGACGAAAAAGTTAAGTAAGAGCGACTGACATGTAAATAAAGTGACTTAGAATAATCTATAATGTAAAGGCAAAGTTCGAAATAGGTTAGTGTATTATAATGTTAATCTGTTTATGCATTTAGTATGTTTGTTCTATAATTAAAATTGTTTTACTAACCATTCTTATCATACTTTACTTTTTTACTCCACCACCTGAGCTGTTGCTCTTCACCGTGGACAGAGAAGGTGAGTGTGAGCGTCTGACTTGTGATCTACTACAGACGATATATTATCACTAATTCAAGTTTATCTTTAAAAATACATTAAGAATTTTGTATCTTTGATTTAATAAATAAAATATTATTTGTCTTACTCACCGTTGTTTTTATTTTTCTCTCTCTCTCACTCCACCTCCTGACTCGTTATCTTTCACTGTGGACTATATATAAATATATGTATAAAGTAATGTGTGTTATTGTGTAAACTAGCATATGCACTATACCTATTTGCACCTATTTATCCTTATAGTATCACTAATTCAATAACTCAAAGTACTTGTGATGTTTATCCTCACACAGGTGTAGCCTGCTGCACCAGACAGAAAAACTGCGATAATTAATGACAACATTTCAATATTTACAGATATTTCCTGGCCATTCTTCGTCTGCTGGATTATGTGAACTGCTCCGACTCCTTTCTCAACTTCACTGGTTTGGTGTTGCATTCAATAAAACACTCAGGACATCTAAAGTGACACTTTTGTATTGTGAGATTTTTTTGGTTTAACTTAAGTCATGTTAAGTCGAGCTTTTTAAATAGTGAATCGGTTGCGTTTGTAAGACAGAAAAAGCAATGCTTTCTCCACACATACAACTACAAATCTACGGCCATGCTGGCGGTAAGGATGTGATGATCAAAAATATTGGAAGGATGAAAAATTTTAAAAACAAATAAACATTGCTATTCTTGGATACCACCGCAAAAAAATAAACCATGAAGTTTGGCCTGAAGGTGGCACTAGAGGTACCGCCATGCTTTTACAGAATGCTCTCAGCACTCATCAGTCTAGTCTCAGTTCGGCAAAATTCAAGGGAGACAAGAAGACATTCACGGGGCCAACAGGATGTTCAATGCTTCCTTCTGCAGTGCGGAGTGTAAGAGGCCCTCAACAGTCTTATGATGACGCAATACAGCACACCAGGTTAAAGAAACAAGCAGGGGGACATTTTACCATCCTACACAACGTGTTCCACAAACTGTTCCACAAACAGCATTTCTTTAAGCTCTTGCAGTAAAATCCGTAGTGACACAACGTTGCCTTTAAAAACACGTTTTTCCTGCTGACACAGTTATTTGACAAACATTAGGAATGTTCTGAGATGCAGCTTTGACTGGATTATTTTTCTCAACAGTGTAAATTGATTATTTTGCACAAATGAATATCAGGAGTTATGGTAATCTAAGCAACAAACAGTAAAAAGCTGTTGGGCAAAGTGACACAAACATTCACTTTTACACAATGCAGAGAAATCTTTGTTGTTGTTTTTTAAGCACTGCTGTATATATTTCCTGTGCTATTAAATTACAAAAAAAGATTATTTTCACAATATAAAAATCATGTAAAATCATCAGTGATTATGAGAAGATTTTGTTTAAAAAAAAATTTAAATGAAAATAAAGGCTTTAAATATTGCTTTTAAGCCATTATATGCAGCAATGATTCTCCCCGGTTCAAACAGTTCAAGGTCTTGACAACTTGTTTCTCTTAAAGGAATATTTTAAGCATGCAGTGACTCATGTCTACGGTCTTTCTATTCATTATTTTATATCTAAAACAACAACAACAACAAAAATGCAACAGCTAATCATGTTAGACTTTACCAGAGAACTATGTTCAACCGATACATTTACACTTCATGCAACTGCTTGTATCTGTGTAAAAACGTAAATATATATTATTGTTTCACTCCAAAATAATAGAGTGCTTCACTGGGTTAAAAAAAAAAGTCAACGTATCTATGAAATGATGAAGCAGTCTGAATACACTGTGCAACTCTTTTTCACGGAGGACACGAACATGATCTCATAGATAAAGATTATAACTCTGCGGTCACACCAGCATTCAGATCGATAGACTAATTGTATACCAGCGGCTTCGACACTTCTTGATTTTCATCGAGTGCCAGTAAATAAAGAAGAACAATGGGGCTGACTGTGCTGCGGTTAGCCTGCCGTTCCCACATCGGTGCCAAAATGCACGCAGCTATTGAATTGAGAAGAGGAAGGAAAATGCTTCTTTGTTTGGAAAGATAAAGCTTCAGCGTGTCTGCTCTGACAGAAAACACCACCTTCATGGACAAACATGAATCTCTCTCTCTCTTCCATCTCAACACATAACCACATAATAAACATGGATTCATTGACACCCTCCACATTATAATATATGGATAAGAGCAACAAATGCACCCTACTAAAGCATACAGGGATGTTAGGTTGGCTACATAATGTTAAAATGTAAGAAAACATCTCTTCTAATGGGTCATATATAAAAAGATATATATATTTATTTGAATAAATATTTATAAATTGTATTTATATAATTGTCAGTAACAAAAAGTCTCCATCGCCAAATGAAGGAAAGTGATTAAAAAGGCAATTTTATGATAAGCGCTCGAAACTTTTAAAACCACAAAATTTAAATACTAAGGGGTGATTTGAAGAACTATTTATGTTTATATGGAACAAAACATCATAGAGTAAAATAGAATAGAATAAAATAGAACACGACAGAACAGAAAACAATGGAACGCATAATGGAATAGACTGCAAGAGAAAAGAATGAAATAGAATATAATGGACCAAAATAGAACATGAGAGAGCAGAATATAATACAACATAACATGAACAATAAAGCAGCAGAACAGAATGAAGTAGAACATAACAAAGCAATAGAATAGAATAGAAAAGAGTAGAACACTGCACAGACAAATATAGAATAAAACATGACAAACAATAGAACCAATTGGAATAGAATTTAACAGAACAAAATAGATCTCGATAGAAACAATAGAACGCAACAGAATAAAATACAACACAACAGGGAAAAAAGAAGACAATAGAATAGAATGGAATAGAATGTAAATAGACTAGAATACAATCAGAATAGAATTTGACTCAATAGAATGTAACAGAATAGAATAGAATAAAACAAAACAGAACACACAAAAACAATAGAACGCAACAATATAATGAAATAAAACAACCGAATGGAATAGAAACAGACCACAATAGAATAGAGAGGAGTGCCCTTAACAGGTAGTTGAACCATGAAACAAGTCTGCCGTCATGCTAGTGGCTCTATGAAATTGAGCAGGGGGCTCGAAATGAAATGCTAACATTAGCATGCTAACAGGAACTATTATGAATCCCGATGCATTTCTTGGTAAGACCCGGCCTAATTAGCTGGTCGAGGCAGAGACAACTGGTTAACTGGTTCACCGTCCCCAGTGGATGAAGTCCAGTAACTTTGGTGATCCCATAATTTGATAATAAAGTATCTTGTCAAGTCTAATCGTCAAAACTTTATTTTTGACCAAATGCCTGTAAACCTGCAAACACCAGCATGTTAGGATTGCTATTGAGGTGTTACTATGATTCCCACTGATGTTTTAGCAGGTGTAGTTGTTTACCATGTGCACCATCATATTTTAGCTTGTTAACATGCTAACATTTGCTAATTAGCGGTAAACACAAAGTATAGTTGAGACTGATGGGAATGTCATTAGCAGATATTTTGTCATAAATACAGTTTTGGAAGATTCAAGACACTTTATTTACATCAAAGTTACTGCACTTACTGCAGGCGGACCAGCTGATATTGACAAACCTGAAGCCATGTTGTCAGCAGCTAAAAATGGGAGTAATAACCGATAGAATATTATAACATCACTCATTACCTGTTACAAATGAGTAGTACATTATCTCTTTACAATTATAAAGAACACAACACATAAAACAGTTGAAAGCTACGTCTTTAAGACTCCAAAGACCGGCCTAATGGAGCACGAAGGAGCCGACTCTGCATCCCACACGATGCCAACACCGGCACACATCTGTCAGGCTTCAGCTGCAGCCCGACAGCTTGTGGTCTTTAATTTATGGAGTTGATTTGACAGAAGTTTCACCCTGAATGGAGGGAAAGACCGAGTGGGTGAGAGGACGAGGTTTGTGGTTCTTTGTTTTTTATCAGCGTGCTACACAGGCAGGAAACACATGCAAACACACATGTGTGACACTCTCACATGCACACATGCATATTTGCATGCTTCCAAAAACACACACGCACACACACACACACACACACACAATATGGTAATTTACTATCACAAGTTGTTTTTCTTGACTGATGGGAGCAAAACTGTTTTAGTGAGTGATATTACAACAAATGATGACACAAATCAGATATAACAATGTAACATTTGGCCTTTCCATAACCTGCGCATCTCCAATTCTTTGTTTCCATGATGTGTCCAGCTCGGCGCTCAGGCCTGACTGCCAACACACTTAACCGGGCTGAAAGGGGAACTTCAGGAGCAAGTCAGTTGATATTTAAAACTACACACCTGAGTTAAATGCACTTCTCAAAAAGCCCTGTGTTTATTTGTACAGGGGGGTTGGCTCCGTGGTAGGCTGAGTTTAACAGTGATCACCACAATATTAACCATTAACGTTTACAATCATATCTATCTGAAGCTGCGTTTATGGCTTTCAGGTCAATTGGAAATTCAAATGGTCATCATTTTTTAGCCTTCAGCTCCACTGAGCTTTATACTGAGCTTGTCTCCAGGATTTGATGGTACTCTGTTTTAAAATGATTAGTAGGTGCAGAAAACTAAAATTTAAACCTAAAACTAATCTAAAAAGTCTGCAGTAGATGCATTTTGATTTTCACAGCAACTTTAACGAGAGCACAATAAACTTCCCAGCAGTGATAAAACAAATACTTGGTAAATGATGTCCCTTAAATGATCATGAGTGAAAAAAAAAAAAAGTGTAGTAAAGAAATAAAAAAGTAAGAAGAGGAACCAAGTTTGTTGTTTTGATGTGAGAGCTTTGTGGGGGACGCAAATGGCTGTTAATTCAAACTACTGTACTTGTTTTTCATTAGTTTATCACTTTGTGTGCAATGTTATGGCAGAATGGCAGAACGAAAAATTCACAAATTGTTTTTTTCTGAAGAAAACAATTATAATTATAATGTTTAATATTTCAAATACCTTTTGTTTTATTAAATTATAATGAAAAATGTTTATATTATGGACAAATTTTTCCATTTAGCAAATATGAACCTATTTTTATTGCACTGACCAGTGATAAATGTCCTTTGATTTATGGTTATCCATCCAGTTTGTGTTTCTCAACAGAGCCCCACCACAGGCTCACTCTTCATGCAAATATTCCTTCATTCACTTAACTTTATGACCAGAAAACAAAGGACCACAGAGAAAACATTCCCGCAATTATAAAGGCTCCAATTTCAATTAACAGGAAAACGTATTACTGAACAGCACATATTATGTATGTTAGATACATATCACGCCCGGTATGCAAATTCTCACATCAGGCTGAGAATTGGTGGTATTCCTGGCCGAGTGGAGCAATAAAAGATGTTTTTGTTGTTCGTAGATTGTGATCTCCACTATGAGAGACGTGTGATGCTCAGATGTCTGTCTGATCTCAGCATTTAAAAAAAAGAAGAAGTGTACGGCTGCAGTACATCGTGACGTTAACACATTAAAATTGACCAGCCTCTCCACCTGTTTATGAAAGGTGAACAGGTATTGGAGGTCTGCAACATATATATACCTGTCCACATACTGTACACCTGCAGCCGTGCATCAGTGTTCACCTATTAGGACAGAAATGGTCTCAACTGAGGGCAATGCTCAGACATACAAGATGGTGAGTTGTAAAGATGCTGTACACTTTTTCATTACAGTTATTTGTAAGAATTTGTCTCGTTGGGTTTCATCATTTCGTGCTCTTAATTCTTGTAGAATTTAAAAGGAAAAAAACAGATTTTTGTGGGTGAAATTTTCTCTCTATTTTAGACCTCTTTGGACAACGACATCAACCAACACTTCCAGGATGCGATTGATGTGATTCAACAGCATTCAAGTAATTCATATTACGATTCAGGTACAGTAAAAATCTCTAAATACAAAAATACTTGACCATAACTATCAAACTTCTGCGATAGGTATTTCATACTTATTCATCTTTCAATACTTTATTTTATGCTGGAAAATCTACAATCTTCCTCTCTAATTATGTAAAAAAAAGCTATTTCAATTTCTTTAATTAATTTACGTATATCTGGAGAGAATGAAAACCGACTTTGTTCATTTCAGAGTACACATATTATGAAACTCTGGGTAGCCAGCAGCAATCGTCATTGCATTGTCAGATCTCCTGCTGCCTCGTCACACACCCGTCTGATGTGCCAGCTCCAGCATGTGACTGGAATGACACGGCCGTAAGTGGAGCCAAATAAATCTGCATTTGTGTATTTTGAAAATCATGGGAAAAGTTATAGAAATAAGTTTTTATTTTTGTTGTAAATTTCATAAATGTGTTATCTTTCAGCACCATTCTTGGCCTCAGGTCATCCCTGATGCCTCCTTGTGTCACTCTGTGCAAAATGAGTCACCTCATTTCTACTCAGTCTTACCTCCACAGAGGAGCAGCAAAGGTAATCACGTTATGGTTTTTAGTAGGAAACTTTAACTGGCAATTCTCTGTTTGTGACTAAAACAAAGACCAAATCAATCTCCTCAGGTCGCAAGAAGCTCAGACTTTATGAGTACCTCCATGAGGCTCTGAATGACCCCAACATGGGCGACTCAATCCAGTGGACAGACAACGGCAGTGGCACCTTCCACTTCATCTCCAAGAACAAGGAGAAGCTGGCCGAGTGCTGGGGCCAACGGAAGGGCAACCGCAAGACCATGACCTATCAGAAGATGGCAAGAGCTCTGAGAAACTACAGCCGCACCGGTGAGATCATGAAAGTGCGTCGTAAACTCACTTACCAGTTCAACCCGGACATCCTGCACAGGCTCGGCTCTGCACATGTGTCCATGCAGCCGCACTGCCGCCCTGCACAGGAGGAGGACCACACCCGGCAGCAGAGCCCGGCTGAGCAGAGCTACTGCGGCGGCTCTTCAGCGGCGGACTGGCACAGCTGGTACGGACAATACCAGCTGCAGGAAGACTATGACCTGGCCTCCAGCTTCACTTCACACAGCACACCCAAACTCTGAGCTGGAGGACAGTTTTAAACACAGAGAGGGGGAAAATCCCTTAAAAATTTGAAAAGGTTTACAGGGACTTCAATTATTTGACTCTCAAACCTTCTGGGGCCACATTCAGTCCCTGCATGTTATCACAAGTGGGACTATTACTATCACTCTTTTCAGTTAAAGGTGTCTAAATAACTTTTATTTAGAGTGTTCATTTGTAAATTCTCTTTTTTTGTTGTAGGGGGGGAATCCAATTTAAATAAAAGCCACGCAAATCTAACTAAAAATCAAATTTTTTACAGAATTGAAGATATTTTTGTAAACATATTTAGTAAACAACATCCTTACGTTTGTCTTGCAGCTAATGCCAGTATATGTTTTAACAGATAGTGTGGACTTAACAGGTTGACCACACCAGTCAGCACACCTGCATTTAATAAAGCACTAATTAAGAGTCTTAACAGGAGGTTTTCAGAGAGTGGGTCCATATTCATTTAATACATGTAATTATATGTCATCATTTCACTATTTGGGTCACAGAAGTAACATTATCTACGGATTCATAAATTAATTGTAAATGCTTTTAAATTACAAAATATGAATAAAAATATGTTAAGTTCATCAATGATGTTTCTAGATTTAAATGACAATGCCCTATTTCTAACTTATAACAATGACAAATTAGACATCTTTAATTGACAAAATACAGTTACATTTGACATGCAGCTGACACATAATAACGTATATTGTGGACTTAGCTGGTTGACCTTTCCAGTCAGCACACCTATATTTAATAAAGCACTAATTAAGAGAAACATAAGCCTCTTAAAAGGTAGGATCTTTGAATCTGAAGAAATAAATGTTATTGTGCATAGAAAGTTTTAGGTTTCAGGTGTCAAACAATGAGGACCATTTGCAAGAAAATAAAAATCCTAACCATACCTTCTTTTTCGTAAACGCACTGTTCTGACTCTATGCTGTGTACGAGACAGTGGGAAAAATGCTTATAAAGATTATTTTATAACAATAATAACAATTTAAATATCCTAGTCTACAGCTCAGTTGTATACTTATATTTATTGTGTATTAAAAAATGTTTTTCATTTCTGTACTACATTTTTTTTCAGAATTTGTTGGAGTCTGTTGAATACAATCAATAAATCGATCTGTGTACTCTCACTTGTGTTTGTTTTCTACTGACTTGATAACAACAGAGGCTCTTGTCTTCTGTCATGAGAAGAAAAAACACTGGCATTATCACCGTGTTGAAAGATTTGGCACTGTCTCCGTTGGTGTGAAATATTGCAACAAGCACACTACAAACTCTGAAATTAAGACACATCCTGTGAGGAAAAATATGGCAGCAAGTGTGTTTTTCCTGAAAAGAGAGTATTGTGTATACCTCCAGGCCAGGCCTTATCTGCTTCAGCGGGGAGGATGTGGTCAGTGCTGGGAGGCTTTGTTGATGGGTTGACTGGTGCTGGTGTCGGGGCTTTGCGGGATGGTGGTCATTGTTCCTGTGAGCCTTGGGTAGAAAACGTCTGGTGTAATTCAGAAAGCCCCGTCCTGTGGAGGGTATAAAAAGAGTCCAGGCACTTGAGTGTCTCAAAGTCATTTTTGTGAAATTCTCCCAAACTGCAAGGACTGTACCGCATCACATTCAGCCTCACCGGTCATGGTAAAGACCAGACTTGTTGCAAGGATGACATTAGAATTTACTCAAAAATATCTGCATTATTCAAGGCTGATTTTGAAATTATTTATCTTTATCAGAATTCTTTCCAGGAGACTCAATCTGATTTGGAGGTGATCTTAGAGTTCCTAGAGGAGTACTACAGACAACACAGTGGAGGAAATGGTAAGAGGAAAGAATTGGAAATTAAACTATATTACTGAAAGGCGAATGTGTTCTCAGTCTCTCAGCATTTGTTTTGCTCTTTACAGTGGACAAGATGTACTGCACTGCAGTTGAGCCTGTAGATGAAAGAAGTGCACCTGTGGACGAAGGATCATGCGAGCAGCGCTGGACGTGCAGTGAGCCAACTGTAGGCATTAAAATGCTTGTTTTTCCCACACAAAACACTTGTATACCACGTCTAGTAAAATGTGCACAAATAACCAAGCCTTTAAAGCTGTGTTTCCTTCATCAAAGAACATCAAACCTGAGCTTCAGCCTCTGCTGGCACACGATGCCCCACCAGCCGTCAGCCAGTACACAACAACATTGTCTGAGTGTGGGTCACTGCCAAACTTTGTATCAACAAGACAACCAACCAAACACAAAGCTGGGAGTGGTGAGTTCTCCTTTTTTTGGTCACTCGATACTGTTATTGCCCTTGTTGCTATTAGCCTGGGGAGAACAATACCAAGAGAGCAAATAAGAGACTTTCCCTTTACCGTAAAGAAAACAATGGAGCTTAACTTGGCTTAGCTTGATAGCTAACCGCAGTGTTTACAGCTAGACCCTTTCCACTATATGCCATCCAATCAGTGAAGAGATTTTCTGGGAATTGCATTGAAGGAAATGATTAACTGTAACCAGCTTTAACTGTTTTGGAGAGGCCCAGCTGCTGTGATATTCCCTAAATCCTTCTTTTCAATCCAGTCTTCAACATGCCACTTCCTGTTTGCTCAATGGTTGCAGGTGGAAAGGTGCGCCTCTTTCACTTTCTGTTTGAGGTGTTGGAGGATCCGAACATGGCCCACTGTGTGTCCTGGGTGCCGGCAGCCGCCGGCGTCTTCCGCTTTTCCTCCACGAACAAGGACCAGGTGGCGGCACTGTGGGGTCAAAGAAAGGGCAACAAGAGGCTCATGACCTACCAGAAGATGTCCCGCGCCCTCAGGAACTACGCCCGGTCCGGAGAGATCTTCAAGGTGAAGAAGAAGCTCACCTACCAGTTCAGCCGAGAGACTCTGATGCTACTGCAGAAGTGTCAATGAGGAGATTTGTAAAGTGGACTAGATTTTCTTTGTAGCTCATATCATGATTTATAAAACTCTGAATGTGTTCTTCATTTTTTTTACTCTAAGAAACTTAACCTTTCAACACTGTCTGTGACAAATGAACAAGTCCGTTTTCTTGAAGTTAGTACATTGAGTTTGTGGTGTAAATAATTAAAAACACTTTATACATCTTAAAGTGTTGTCATCATTTTATTGTATTCTTTGAAATGATTTTAAGGACAATGAACGTTGCAGCAGATATAAGGGTTGACAGAGTAAAAGATAAGTAGTGGAGAATTAAAACACTGAGTTTTGAAATCAGACACGATAAACATCAATATTACAAATAACAGTTATCATGAAAAATTCATCAGTCATTTTCCAACCAGACACGTTTTTTAAATGCGGCTCAACATAACCAGAAACTTAAAGAAGATGTTTCCCATTGACTCTGAGCATTTCTGCAATTACTAGAATACCATCTCTCCTATGAGACAAAATGAGTCATGCAGCAGCCTCATGTGCCTCTTCACCTGTTGACAAGTGTGTTTTCCTTTAGCTTTTACTGACTGCTGGGAACCAGAGGGTGTCAGTGTTGTCCATCTTAAAGCCTCTCTTCTTTTTCCTGTGGTGTGACCTCATGGCTAAATCGCCCCTGTGATGTGAACCTTCGGCCATCCCGGGCAATACCAAATGTTTTTTTGGTGTTTGTATCGGACCCACATGACACTTCCCTAAGCCCAGTATTTACTGCTGGAGCCCACGGCGGGTTATAAATGGGCTAACTGAGCTAGGGGCGTCTGTTACCAAGAAAGGCCACATACTTTGAACTGAATCAGGAAAACATGTCATTTAAGGACAGTTCTTAATTGAAAGCTTCCACATCACATGATATGTGTCGGCTTGCAGTATGGATAGAGTGTTGAAGTGAATCCAATTTGAGACAATAGAAGCTGCATTCCTATGTGCACAGGCAGTATCTATACCCCCTAAAATAGAGCTGTGCCCCGTCTTGACTGTCCTGTTGGGTTGTCTGAGGAATTAATTCTGCATGTTTTAAGTGCACTTCCATGTTGAGATCATTAACATGCTCAAGTGGTGATGATATTGTTAGATTCTCTGAAGGGGCTCGCTGCTTCTACATGTAGAGAAGCTTCAGCACTGGGCTTTCTGCGGCTCGCAAATCCGTCAGCTTTCATTCTTGTTGTTTAATCTTTGCGACCTTTGATCAGAGACCACACCTGATTGATCACTTGTGCTTGACGTGCTAAAAAGATTAATTAGGACCAAAGCAGACACATCAGTGACATAATTCACAATGAAAACCTCTTTTCATGTCAGAAACACATGTCAAATGTCAAGGCGGTCTAAGAATAGGACGTATTACCACCGCCCATGGCATCTCCCCAGTATTTATTTGACAGTTCGGAAAGCCTGCTGTTCTTACGCCTGGATTAAACTGATACCAGCAGCATCAAGTCGCTGCATGCCATCTCAAACTTTTCTTTTGTAATATAGCCACAGATTCTCTGAATATGTTGCATATCATCTGGGATTGATGGAAAGTATTACATTGGCCTCAGACCTACATACGACAATGACAACACCTCTCTCTTTTTATATCCCACCTCCTGATTTCACAGTCTCCTTCCCCTTCAACTACTGCTGTAGTGCATTGAGGATACTCACCTCTGATGCCCCGGTGACAGCCCTCACCCTGATCCTGTTGTGGAAATATGGAAGTAATGATGACACATCTAGTCTTAAATTAATACTTTGAGTGGAGACACCCAACTCTCAAAAAGTCAAACTGTTCCTTTAAACAGGCCGCCTTTTGTAATTTCAGAAGAATACCCAGAAAATCTGTGCTCTGCGGAACTCTTAATATTTGAAAATAAAGTCGCATTGCTTCACCTAAGAAACTAATATATTGAACTTTAATCCAATAAACTTGTACAAAGTAAAATGCATAATTTGGCAACATTTACTTCTTCTCATCTAAAAAGCTGGCACAGCAGCCAGTGGGTCGGGGACATTGATGCAGCGACCACTACAGAGAGGAGGAGCATGCCATCTCTCTATATAAGGCCTGAAAGCCTGTCCCTCCTGGATCTGTCACCACTCCTCCCCCACTGAGATTTCCAAACCGTATCCCAGTGCACTCCTCATCTCCCATCACTCTGGTCCAAGGGCTTCCAGAGTTTTCTTCTTCTTCTACCGTCATCTCTCTCCCTCCTGGACGAGAGGGCTACCGCGTCTTACCTGGCCTCCTGTAGAGTCGCATTACTCTGAAGGCACTTAACAACCTAACCTGCAAACCTGCACCTTTTGACTCCTTGACGCTTTTTATTTTCTTGGGACGCGGCTCAAGATGCCAGAGCCCACAAAGAAAGGTAGGAGTTGTTGCCTCCAGCATGTGACAGCCAAAATCCATAATAAGCCTACTGCAGGTTTAAATTAATGTGACAGCAAAAGTAAGTTTAAAGTATTTTTTGTTATTTTTTTATGATTGGCTCACTGTATTTATATCTATTGTCATTGTTTTAGGGAAGTTAGGCGACTCCATCACTTTATGGCTCACCTGCCAGCTCGTTCATAGGAATCCTCAAAGTGACTTTGACGGTGGTTTTGTATTACTAATGCATGCATGTTTCTACCGTCGCGGGGAACAGGAGAATATTTGAGGTTTATGAGCAGATACTATTGTCGCCTGTGGTGGGCATAGTGGATTGTTCTGTGTGATCCAGCTGGAGAAAGACACGATGATGTAGCGCAGCATAGGAATGGCAATGAGCGCCGAGACTGACACAAGCAAAGACCTGTGAGGGATGATGCAACTGGAGCAAGGGCCTCGCTGTATGAGGATAAATAATAGCCTAATTGTGTTTGTCTTTGTGATGATTGATGGGAGCCGACCCGTCAGACCTGCCCCCTGCCCGGTATTCGACTCCTTATTCAACCACACAGCATCCTGTGCCCTCGTCTACACACCACAACGTCACTCATCTGTACCATCATGTCCATCAACTTTCCCTTTAAATCCCCTCTTGTCCGTCATTAGGATATGGTATTACTCCCACCCTCCCCATTAGCCCAGCTCTTTTGGGGGTCCGCCGTCGACCCAGACATGCCCATGTAGAGAGAATGGGACATTTTGTTCGGATCTTTGGAAGCCTTCCACAGGGGACCGTTGATCTGTCTGTGGTTGTTCCTGACACCTCGGGCATGATTTGCACATAGACACTAAGTCCTGAAAGAGGGATTTTTCCTCTGTTGCTCTTTCTGAAGTTTCTACCTTTTTTTTACCATGTTTAAGTTTTTCTTTATCAGAACCAACAGTCTACAGATAGAGGGTGGCATATTCAGTATAGATTATAAACCCCTTTGTGGAAAACCTGGGATTTTATGCTATATGAATTAAATTGGCTTGAACATTCTGCCTTTTGAACAGTGGGCATTGCACTTTCAAGATTGGGTTCAAGGCCGCTCTTTTACTTTCATTGACGCATTTGGGGAGATCACAACTTTTAACAGCCAGCTGCAAACTCCAGAATCCCATTTCTCACATCTAAATCTTATCCTAATCTCTTGGTGGTGCAAGAAAGAGTAGACGTTCACCAAAGCTAGAGGAAACCAAGATCCTGAAATGATGTGAAGCTCAGCTTGGCCTTCATCTAGATGCTCCATTGCATTGTGCACAGTTGCCCTTACAGTGTTCTTCCACAGCCATAAACATCCTTGATCCCCTCAGAGATAAAGCTGAGGGGAAATAGAGGCAGCAGATTCCAGTCGGCCACAAACACTACCCATAAATAGCTGCATAGCCAAGAGCGGCAGTTAAATGAGAGTAGAAAAGTATTGTTCTCTAAATGAGTCTGAACAGCTGAAGAGGAGAAGGCCAGCGCTGTTGTTTTAGACACCCCACTCTCAAGCCTTTAAAAAGTCCAAACCAGAGATGACGGACTGGCTGAGTTGCCCGCAGATCTCTTGGGACCTGGATTCTTGTCCCTGGAATAGTTCAGAATGAGCGCACTTTTAATCCCCACCCCTTGTTCCCTGCCATCTCCCCTTCACAGCCACCAAACCCCTCCTCTCCTCGTCCTGTGCCACACACCAAAACAGACATCTCCCTGCCACCCTCAGTTCAGGTGGGATCGCTCAGAGGTCAGACACCTCCCCAATAAACCTCTGACCCCGTGCCCAGAGTCCTTACAGTGCTGTCCTCAGCTGCCACTCAGTTTAGGGTTTCAGTCGTGAACTCTCCTTGAAGTTCATCACTCTCCCTGGGCTCTGTCTTCTGACAACGTGCTTTGTGTTACCGAATACCACCTCATAAATCAAACCCTTGGTAAGATACAGGGGAAAAAGCCTGTCAACAGCTAATTGCTGCCCAATTACAGTGCTCATATCTCCTCAGACTCTTAAAGTCTCATGGAAGCTCCTCTTGTCTTACCAGAGTTAAAATAAACCCCACAACCGCAGCAAGGGTAAACAGTATAATTAATGTCAGTGTATTAAATCAATACAGGTCATTATTTGGAAGAATGAAGCTGCCGACAGTTTGGCTCACATCGGAGTCTGTATGAGCCCTTCTGTCTGCACGCCAGCAGGGGCAACAGCTGAAAATACATGCAGCCCTGTCAGCTGCACTGGGAGTCCTCAGAGGTGAAATAAAACCTTTCTCCACTCTCATTATCCCAATGTAGATGAGACAGAGCGCGGTGATGTGACCCTGCAGGATTGTGGCCCGCTGGCCAGCGATGCATTGTTTTGAAGTGAGGTGGGTAGCGCGGCTAATTTTGACGAGGAATGCTCAGAGGGAATCGTTACAATTGGACGGATAAGAGCAATGGCTAAGAGGCAATGGGAGGAAAATAGCTGTTAAAAATGGTGCATAGTCAGTGGACATACATGGGTTGCAGTATTCATAGACTGGGTGCAAACAGCTGCAAGTGAGAAACTGAGACTGTCTATGAAGGATTCTCAAAAGTTTAAGATTCTCAAAGAAGATATTCAAGTCTGAGTGTTTTGGATGGGTTATGTAAAAGGCTGGTATTGTTCACAGCTTTTTGAGGAGTAAGTGGGACACTTAATGTCAAGAAAGATGGGTTTGATTATGGAAATTTCATTCCTCTCTACTTTTTGGATATGTGTCTTAAGATCTTTATGGCTGCAAATGCAAAAATAAATTATCGAACGCTGGCTCGAATACCCCTCATACAGCTTTTCATTGACACCATAAACTATTTGCACTCCATGGAAAAATATTCAAATACCCTTTAACTAAAGAAAGACAAGGTTTAAAAAAATCTCTTTTAGGAAACTGATACTGATTAAGGGTCTTTTTAACCCATATCATTTTAATATTAAAGGGATACTAAATCCCTGTTTAACGGGATGTGTGACGGCAACAAAGCCGTTGTCACTCTAAATATGTATATGTAAACATTGCCACTGCATTGTCTTAGCACAGGTAGTATTGGCAACGTAATTTGTTGTTAGGTTAGCCCACAACAGGCTACAACATAAACAATAAAAGGATGGAGGCCTCACCTTAAGTACAGTAAGCCTAAGTAGTTGCTACACCTGTTCCTGTCGTCCACTCGACTGCGTGTTGGTCCAGTCTCTGAGGTCCTTCTCTCGTTTCGACAACCGTGCACTGAGCTCATTTAGGTTAGGTTTTGATTTATAGTTCGGTGTTGGATTTTACCTGAAGACTAAACACATTTGGCATGTCAAACCATGACGCTCCACTGTGGGTGCTCTAAACATAAGTAACATAAGTTTGGAAAACAGGTAACAAATTAACTCAGCAATGCCTTGGGACATGAACACCAGTCTCAAACAACTCCCCGCGTTTGTAGTTTTTTTTTTTTGACCATCCAATAATGACGCAGATGGGTTTACACAGCAGTTACTTGAAAGCCTGGTGTGTCTCATACAGACGCTACAGGGTGCCTTGTGCGTCGACATCAGACGCCGAGGGGCGTGACAAAGCGTCGATATTTGACGCCATGTGAATGAGAACAAGCTGGTACTAGAGAACCTCTGATGGCTCTTCATCTTCATTTTAACCCCGTCATTGCATGCCAAGCATGTATGGATGCTTTGATTTGTTGAGGCCTCGCATTGAGTCCTGTTGCAGGTTTTGAATGTCGTATTCAAACATGTTTCTGTCGCTACCGCCCCACCACCATTAGTTTCATAAGTCTAGACAAGGCAGAGGGCAAACAAATGGTGTGTCATGTGGGCCTCTTTCATAATCAGTTAAGACAACATAGTGTCTAAGCACAAGGAGCTAGTCATCCGGGAGGAGGAGGATTCGGCTTGGTAGTGAATGGATATCAATAAAATCAGTCGATGTGCACAAACGGAAAGACATTCCTGAGTGATTAGGACATGCAGCGAGACATCTCGTTATCATGTTTGGTACTGATGTGTTTCGTTTTTCTTTCTTTTTCTTTTAGATGAGACGTCAAATGGCCAGCCAGAAGGTGAGCGAACGGCGATAGACATCTAATCTCCCCCTGTCACCTCACAGTGTAGCAGATTGTAGCTGCACAAAGTACAGTATGCACAACAACAGACATATATAGTCATCAGAAGAAGGGTAGTTGCACAGGTGAAAGAAGGACAAAGTGAAGGAACCCAAGAGAATACCTCTGTGTACATGTCAAACACCAACCTTTGTCCTCAACAAGATGTTCCGGCACTGAGCCCACACACACGTAACATAATATTCGACGCTCTGAAATTGGCTTGAATGTGCAAACACAGTCACATAGGAGTGTAAATGTGCAGCCAATAGTCGGCAGTATAGACGAGCTGCTGTGCTCCAGAGCGATCTGTGGCAACGACCAAGCTGTCAGTATCTCTGACATTCCTCTCGCCAGCCTGCTGATCCCTCTCTGTTGATTCAGCTGCCGCTCCCGCAGCCCCATGTGAGCAAGGTGCCGGCATGCAACTGGCTTTCTGCCCCCGCTGAGGTTTGACCTTGGAGCTGCAGCATCTTGAGGCTCAAACTCGGTCGGGAGGGGTGGAGAGCTCAGTGTACATAAAAATGTTACTGGGTTAATTCAGGATTTGTCAGATAATAATTTCTCAAAGATTGTCAGTCAAATCTTGGTGGGCAATAATATTTTATTGCCAAACACAGGTCACAACATGTGTAACAACACATGAACATATAAATGTAGGGTTTATGTGCATTTCATGATCCAATGACGCCTTTTTCATTGCCAATACATGCCGGCCTTATCTCAAATAGATTATGAAAACAGTTGTAAAATGCATATAAATACTGCCTGATGATGCATGACACTTCCAGTGGGTGTTGTGGTGATGCTACAACACTCACTGCCTACACCATAAATAAGGCCTCTGAAGCAAAACCACCACAACGCCTCGATGGAGGTATAAAGTATGATTCTGCCTAAGTACTATTTTAACGTTTTTGTAATGTGCATTTCAATTGTGAACCTCATTGACGTTTGTATAATCCTAATCCTGACATATTAACAGCACATTTTGTATATTTATAAGCAGGAAAATAGTCTAAGAATTCGTTTTTTTTCCTGTGTTGTTTTACATGTGAGAATGGTGAAACAAAAATATGATTAATTTTGATAATGTGTGAATGACTACGTGCAGGCGTGTTGTGTGTTTTTATGTGTGTTTGTTTTCACCGTCGAGAGGTTTATTTTGAAACCTGGAGAGGGGGTGTGAATATTCACTCTGTAGATATAATTCACAGGATTGTAACTAGAGAGGATATGAAGGAAAAAAACAACAACAAATTCACAGTATGTACAACATTATGTCATTGGACAACCCCAAAGCTCTTTCAGACCAGCCAAACATCCGCCACTCTTCAAGTCATTTTCTCTACATTCTATTACAAAACAGCAGGACACTCAAAAACATTCCATCTTTTACAATTATACATCTCATCCGGTGTGACATCTGTGGGTCAAGTTGTGTGTGTGTTTATTTGAATGACTGAGAGAGGCATTGCAGATGCTGAAGCTTTTGTGCTTATAAAAAGCAGCTGTTCCATCCACCATTATATTTGTCACATGCTCAGAAAGTGTTGCCCCAGACAGTAACGGTGCCCTGCCCCTACCTGAGATTTCCCTGGAGATTTCTCCACCCCCAGGTGGGTAAACCCTGACGCCCCCTTCACTTCCCCCCCAGAGTTCGTTTGCACATCACCTTCACATCACGTGTTTTCGTTTGGTGTGTGCGATCACGTTTTTCTTTTCTCAAATAATTCACTCTGAGAGTCCTGAAACTGTACTTTTCTTGTGTATGTATGATTGCTCAACACGCTGTATGTTTACACAATACGTTAATTAGGTTAGCTTAGCTGTAAGAGCACAACTGCACTCGCTGTGCACATATCCACGTGCCTGCAGTGCTCTACCTGTATTTGCCTTGACGCTTGGTGCTGACAGTATCTCGTGCTGTGGCTGTCTTTGTGTTGGTGCAACTGTGTGACATACTGAGTCATCAACAAAGGAGGGAGAGAGGGATTGGGGAAATTGGGTTTTACTGACTCTGGTGACTCTAGTCAAAGGCCAGTTTACGATATAATACAAGCAATCAGATCCTTACATGCCGTATGAGTCAGTAAATCACTCCTTCCTTGATCACTTTACAGTATAAGATATGCAATGACCAGATAGTTGCTCCACCGGTGCAACTGATTATAACATGAGACATGATGGCCATATTTGTGCTCTGTATATTCTACTAGATGTACTCTATTCATATACAATATGAATTGATTTAGTTGAATTTGAATGACCGATTTGGGTTGTTCTTTTAGCCATATTAGCAGCATGGCTCTATGGGAGACAATGTCAGTCCACCATTTTGGTCCAGACTGAAATATCTCAACAACTATTGGATGGATTTCCATGAAATGTTGTGCAGACATTCATTGTGCAAAGAGAATGAATCCTGCTGACTTTGGGAGAATTTTTTGTTTCAGACCATTAATACCAATGGTTTTCCCATCAGCTGTACGTTGGTGCTAATTAGCAAACAGTAACATGCTAACATGCAAAATTAAGATGGTGCACATGCAAAACATACCAGCTGAATGTCAGCAAGTTAGCATTCTGGCGTTAGCATTTAGCTCAAGGAGCAGCTGTGTGTCTAAACCTCACAGAGCCATCAGCATGGTCGTAAAATCTACCTTCATTACTCAAATGTCACCAATTAATATAAGGGCTATCTGGTCATTAGCTATTTATACCCACCTTGTTTGAGCAAGCATTATTTTGCAAGGCTACACCGGTGGTTGTGCCCAATGCTTGCTGCTCCAGCTTGGCGCTTTGTCTGCTGTACAGAAGCAGTAGCAGAGGGGAAAGAGCCAGTAGAGACTGATGGGAAGAAACCAGAGGCCACAGAGCCTGAGCCTTTACAGGCTGTGGTGGCTCAGGAGCCGAGCCCCATCGAGAATGGCTCAAACCAACCACAGCCTGGTGGGGTCGGGGTAAAAGAGCAAACAGAGTCTGGTAAATCTGCTAGAAAAGAAGAGGGCCCTTGCTCCCCCCCACCAACTGGTAAGTACGACTTTTAAAGTTGAGTGATTCCCATTTCTCTCTCCAATGCATGGTTAACCCCCTAGCTCTTTCACTTAAAATGCAAACAAGTCCTGAAAGTCCTACTAGTCGTTTCAGTTGCACACTACATGGCTCAGCAGCATGGCAAAGTGATCTAAAACCTAGATTTAGTCTCAGTTGAAAGGTAATAGATTACCTTCACTTCCCAGAAAGCATTGGACTTCACTTGGTTGGATCAATTGATAATTTGCTTTTAAAACAATGCTCTAATTCCTACATGGCTTTAAATGCATGCAGACATCAAATAAGTAAAAAAAGATATATACTTGCACTTCGGTGCAGAGTTTTCAATGTTACGTTTTAAACTTTTCTGGGCATTGGCATTCCCTTTTTTGTGGATACACATACTTTCTCATTTACTTTACTTTTGTAAAATACATTTGGGAAATTTATTTACTTGCTGTCTTATCAATATCTTGTCTGTCTAACCAAAACTAGTTTGCAAGCAGTGAAGCATGTATTTAGCCTAGCATAAAGACTGGATGCATAAGCAGGGGAATTTTTTTTTAAATAAAAATTAAATACAGCCAAGACCTTTAGCTGTCTTCATCATGTTTTATTTTGTTATAGCTAGCGGCGGTTGTCAAAAAGGCACCTTCTTCTTCTTCTTCTTCTTCTTCTTCTTCTTCTTCTTCTTCTTCTTTCGGGGACAGTTGTCAATCATGATGTCACACTCCCTTAGCATCGAATAACTAATTAAAACTTATCCCAAAAAAACAACACTTGAGCATACATCAGTCTGATAAGAACTACCAAAACTTACAAAAACCTTCCTTTGGAAAAATGTATTTGACGAGTACTTTGATTTCTATTAGGCTAAACTAGGCTCAACGCTGTGCTACTACTGTAAGTTTACTTAACGTACAAACGTTGGTAAGGTGGCAAATAAGTTAATTTTAAGGCTTGTGTAAAAGTGTAAAAAGCTTTTCAATGGAAAACTTGCAGCAGCTAGTTAAACCCACCCTTATTCAGAGACAATATTCATCAATCCGCCTACAATAGATGAGTTTATCCTCACTAATTTCAATCATAACTGTTCTTTTTTTCAGAGGACGCCAATTCACTCAAGAAACTCTCAATTGAGCTGCCTAGTAAGATCCCTCTGTTAAATCCCACTATTTTAGTTCCTCTGAAACCCGTAGCCGACTCTAAATCAGATTACCCTCTGTCTGAATGAAGGAAAAGTGTTAGAGACATGTTTATTTTTAGATATTTTGTGTGTCTGGAAGTAAGCGTTTCAATATAAGACGGTGAAAATGTTCAGAAAACCTCTGCTAACATATTAACATACACCCATTAATACAAATTATGTTTCTTTTTTTGATAATTCGACTTCTGAAGTGTTATATGAACATGTTTGTTTTTTGTTTGTTTGTCTGAACACATAAATTGCCATTTATGTGTTCTGGTCATAACAGTCAGATCTACGTTTTGCGATCAGTAATCAAAACAAAGCATGTCATTGATTTTTTTTCAGACCTTTGAATCAGAATCCCTCAGGTCAACGCTTGCTAATCCGTAGTTGCTTGTTGCTTTTACTTTTGATGAGTGTGTGCTTGCTTCAGTGGACTTTACAGTAATATTCCTTACAATATGCTGTAAATTTCTCTCTGTCTTTGTTTAGATGATAGCGTTCCAGCTGCAGGGAGAAAAGACTCAGGTAATACAGTGGTAGCCAAAAAATTCTAATATGGAAATTATACCCTTGTTTTCATACACAAGAGGAAGATCGGCATCAAGAAATTGAGATTGGGTCTCAACCATTTTCTTGTTTTCCGTCACAGCCGGTCAAATGGAAGCTTGTTAGCGGTTTAGTGTTATCCAGGTTAATTTGTCTTAACAATATGGTGTGCAACATGAATAAGGTTGTTTTCCTGTCAATATGTCCGCCATCACTGCATGTAGGACATGATGGGGCTTTTGGAAAATGAAATATTTTTCATTAGCATCAGGATAAAGGATTGAAAAGTAGCAGACAACATTTGACAGATCATTTTGTCAATGGTGAACTTGCATAACATGTAAAGACGGGCCCAGGATACAAACTGTATGGCAACAGTGTGATTCATCCACATTCAGACCTCCCATTACAAAGAAGACTGGAGAATCAGGATGATGAAAATGCCCCTTAAATGTGGCCTGTTGTGCTTATCGGACACCCTTTCTATGTTTCATGTTGTCTGTTTCATGCTTTCAATGTTGCAAAGAGCTTACATTCTGCTGCTGAATGACAAGTGATGGCTGAAAGTGAGAAAATCTGTCTGTCTGACTGTATTACTCTCCTCTGGTAAGACTAAAATGTTCAGATCAAAAGTGAAAGGTGAGTGTATGAAATCTTGAAATGTACTGCTATATGTTTTCCTTGCACAATGACGATGGAGATGTACATGTGTCATGTACAGTATGTGTTTCTCCTGGCTGACCAGTGTGGTCTCTGGGAGACGGCCAGGGCCCAGATGACCTGGACAAGCCCGTTGACAGCCCACCGCAGTCCACCCTGATGTTAGAGAGTCCCCAAAGTGCTGTTATCCCTGTGGGTGAGTGATAGCGCAGCAAAGAGGAGATGAAGATGGTATAAGACATCGAATTCGTTATTAAGATTTGTATGAAGGTGATACATTGATTTCTCTAAGACTTAAGGAAATAGTTACACATTTTGGGAACTTCGCTTATTTGCTTTCTTGCCATAGTTTTATATTTTATTAAACTTTTAGTGTGACATTTATGGTTTATTGACTGGATTGTTGGACACCTCTTTCTCTGCGATCACATTGTATTTTTCTGTGTCTTAAGGTGGAGACATCACCTTTGTTGCCAAGGTTGAGGCCAAAGATCTCCTCCGCAAACCCACGGTCAAGTGGTTTAAAGGAAAATGGATGGATCTAGCTAGCAAGACAGGAAAGCACTTACAGCTGAAAGAAACCTTTGACCGACTGACCAAGGTACTGTACAGCCAGGCCCCCACCTGTCCCAGCTCCTACGTGAGCAACACCTCACAGTAAGCGCTGTTAAACCAATTCTTATATATCACTCCCTGGCAGATGCACACATTTGAGATGCACATCATCAAGGCCAAAGACAACTATGCTGGAAGCTACAGGTGTGAAGTCAGCTACAAGGACAAGTTTGACAGCTGTTCCTTTGACTTGGAAGTTAAAGGTTTGTTAAAGCATCAAGGAGCATTACTATATTCTAATGTGTTAACAAAATACAGTCTAGCATATGTGTTGTTGCTGTCTTACAGAAGCTGAACAGGGCTCACAGAATTTTGATATTCGATCAGCTTTCAAAAGAAGGTAACGAAAGAACTGTCAACAGCAACCATTATGAATTCAGTATGCAACAGTACAGTATTTCTTTTTCTACTTCAACTGAACAAACCAAGGTATTTATTCCAGGAAATAGGATCAATACTGATAACTGCCCCTGAAAAGTGAAGAAAACAACAAGTGCAATAAACAGTTCACCTTCTAGTGATATTATTGTACCACATTTAAGTGTGACAAGATGGTTGTAATGATGTCATTAACCTTTCTCGAAGGTAATTACAACTCAACCTGCCGACACAATGTGTAATTGAAGGCCAACTCTTGCATTTTACATCTCCCTCCAAACAATGTGTCTGGAAAGCAATGCAAAGCATCCCAGTTTTACAATGTTGCCACGCTCTGGCAATATTGCCTGGGACCGCTCTTAAAATGCCTTACACAAAACACCCTGTTTCAAACTTTTATCCGGAAAATAAAAATAAAGTGGTTTTGTGTAAGCATTAGTCATGTGTTAGCTTGGAGCTAATGCATCGATTGAGACTTTGCTTTGTGTTGCTCTTTTAGCATTGTTTTATAGTGCCTGTAACTGTTTCAACTCTGATTGAATCTGTATTAATCTCTCCTTGTTAACAACAGCAGTGAAGGACAAGAGGATGCAGGGGAGCTTGACTTTAGTGCTCTTCTTAAACATAGGTGAGAATCAAATCCCGACCCAGACTTTGTCTTTTTCAGTATTTTTTACTTTGATTTGTATTGGGCTACTGTATCAGTGGCACGTACATTTCTTCAGATGATACACTATGCTTTACCAGAGGTTTTCGAAGTCTGACACTGAGGGCCCGCATTCAAAATTGAGACAACTGCGCAACATCCCCGTCTAATGTCAAAAAATATTGATAGTGCAACATGAAAAAAGTTAATCTCAATGGATTTAAGTCAGTCATATCATTAGTCTTTGTTTTACGTCGACTTGAGAGACAATCATGCTTCATCTCAGTTATTGGTATTTAGTTGTATTTAGCCGATATTTGTTAACGTTTTGGCACCATTGAAAGTATTCTGTAGTAGCTATTAGTTCCTGTTTGCCAAATATAACTGGAATACTTTGAGGATGTAAAGCTGTAATGATTCTCAGGCATATTCTGGAGTTAAGAGCGTCTTTATTCTATGACTCATAAGCTGATTTATGGACGTTTAAATGTTGAGATCATTTTATCCCCTGTAAGTGCACATCACGCTAAATCTAAAAATATGTGCATCGCGTCTGTTTAGTGAGATTTGACTGAGTTATGACTTGTGCAGATTTTGGGATGCACCCTCACAGTTTGAAAACCTCTGGTTTACCAAAGCTACAGTAGTGGCTGCATTTCTCAGATGATAAAGTGCAACGTGAAGTGTAAGTACAACCAGTCCTAGGCAGGGACACACTTCACCAGTGAAATTATACATTTATTTTGGGCTTGTCTCTTCTTCTCCCCTACATATTCAGAAATCAAAGGTTAGTAGAGAGAAAATCATAGGTTTTAAAACGATTAGACCTTACTGCGGGTGAGTACTGTAATCCTGTAGAGTCCCCAGCATGACGTGTAGCTCTAGGAATTGGACGAGCAAGAGTGTTGGCCTCCTGTAGTAAGGTAACACTTCATTTGAAGGCAGCATTCCTAACCGCTCTGTCAGCAATCAGTAATGATGGAAATGGGCCTTGCATCATAAACACTCTGAGGTGACCGCTCTTCAACGAGTCGTGAAGTCAAACGCCACGTTCATGAGGCAGAGTGCACCGTTTTGGATCATTATTGATGTGCTAGTGGGCCAATGAGAAATGATGCTGTAGAATAGTGTTATCTCTACATTGTCGTTTTATTTCAACTTAAAAAAATATAGAGATATACCGCCATGTTTATTTCAGCTTTCTTCGTAATTGCCTGAAAATAAACAGATGAGAGGTACAAACATAGAATGGAATAATATTTGTCGCTATTCACCTCCAATCTTTCAGACATTTTGGGAAAATGTCTATGAAAGAAAGGGCTGTCTGAATGTTCTTTATGTAAACTAATACACAAACATGTCCAGAACGTTGTGTTTACTAACATGGATCTCAAAAATCTAACCTCCTCGATGTCATTATCTAACAGCGTCGGAGCATCTCTGAACACTCAAACCGACAACAAACAAAGGGATGGGCCAGTTCATGAGAGCAACATGAAAGATGTTAAAGTCAACATTTAAAATCTTTGTCACGGGTTTCCCCGATATCCCTGCATGTTGCATATCATGTTATTACAAACAAAAGCGTTCAGCAGTTCAATAAGTTGTACGACAAACAAAAACTCTCCATTATTGATCTGCGTGTGCTTTTGTGTGCTAGTAAAATCCTTCAACCCTGATAAAAAGTATTTTATCCAAACTAAAAGATCCCAACTCAAATTTCCTTCTTCATTCTGCTCCCATTTCATTTTTCCCAATGCATGCTAGAAACCCTAAAAAGCCTTTTTACAATCATTGTTGTGGATTCAATGGCAAACCTAAATCTTAGAATATTATAGAATAAGAACAAGAGTGTGAGATCTTAAAAGATAACTTTTTTTGTCAATCTCCCTTCACTGGTTTCCTCTTTCAGAAAAAACACATATATGATAGATGTTATAAATACTCTCGTTATTGCATTTAACTGAGTCACTGATCTCAGAACGATAGCTAGTCCTACGGAGATAAACGTTGGAAATTGCCACAGAACAGTAGCACAAAGTAGAACAGTAGAGAATAGAAACCTGCTTTGTGAGCCACAATGTGATCAAACACATTTTGGACATTGAGGACCTAACCAAGAGGTCAAGAGAAAACAAAACTCTAATAGACATGTTTATTTTTAGACTGTTTTCCAATCTTCTTTTTCTTTTTTGTCGCAGAGACCGAACAGCGAACTTACAGACGTGATGGGGGGTCAAAAGGAGATGTTGCTTTGTATTAAGGGGTTAAAAAAAAAAGGATGGAAACCACTTGTTTAGAGGATAGATTCGTCTTTGAAGTTCCCTGTAATAACTTCCTGCCATTTTATCAGACAATTTTCGGTTAGCTGTTAAGAAACTGCAATATTTTACCACACACACCCCAGCAATCGATCATGAGTCCTCCTGACTTGTGCTCCGTGGCTCCATTTTGACACTTTAGATTAAATCCCGTTGCATAGACTCGTGAATAATATTGTGCAGACACAATTAACCCTCCAATACTTTGACTCCAGAGCTGATAGCACTGGTAGACAGCTCACCATGCCCATCCCTTTGCGTGACATGTCCCGAGGAACGAAATAGGATATACAATCCTAAAAATGGCAGGGCAGGAACCAAGGAATGCATTAACCTAGTAAAATAAGCAGAGATTGTAAAGCTTAAGGGTGACCCTACATCTATTCTAGAGGTTAATGAGTAGTTCCTCAGGACACGTCGCAAACACCAGCCTCTGACTCGTGCCCTCACAACTTTCCCTCGTATCCGGCTCCACTAGGGAGGCGAAGGTGGATGACACTCCAGAGGTGGATGTGTGGGAGATCCTGAAGGGCGCCCGGCCAGATCAGTACGAGAAGATCGCCTTCATGTATGGCATCACGGATCTGAGGGGTCTGCTGAAGAGGATGAAGAAGATCCCAAGAGAGGAGAAGAAAAGCGAAGGTAAATCAGTTTCTTTCACAGATTTTGGATGTGCTCCTTTGGTGAATATCAGTCTTCCTGTCTGGTTAAAGGGAATCCTGATATTGGCGTCTCTTTTACAACACTTATTTCATCTTTTTTAAGCTTTTACAAAGAAACTGGAACCGGCATATCAGGCGGATAAAGGTGGAAAGATTCGCTTGGTGGTCGATCTGGCCGACCCCACAGTTGACCTGAAGTGGTACAAGAACGGACAGGAAATCAGATCCTCTCCCAAGTACGTCACAACATTTTCCCTTCCCTCTCTTTCCTTGTCCTCTCCCCATCAACACGGCACAAATAAAACGCACGTTTTTAAAAATGCGTTTTATTTGTGGCATCGCCTTTCTTCTTTCTGATATTATGTGTTTTCACATAATGTTTTGTCTCCACTCAAAAGCACAATGGTTAGCATGTTTTACACCACACAGATGCAGTCTGTGTCCTCTTTTTACTAATTCACTTACTTACTTTATCATGTGCCACAGAGACATACATTTTTACAAATAGAAATATATTAAAACCTAAATGTGGGTTAGTAATATAGTATTTATATTGTAACCTTACAGCATCTTCACTCACACACACATTAGGCTACGTTCACACTGCCAGCTTTAATGCTCAATTCAAATGTATTGCTCAGATCAGATTTTTTTTGTTTGGCTGTTATTATTTCTTAAATGTGGCCAATATTAGACTCCATCGGATATATATATATATATATATATATATATATATAAGGCCCTAGAGCTACATCTGGAGGTAAATACAGTGTATGGTGTCAACTGTTGCCATTAACTAAGTGTATATGTCCTCCTTTGTACAGGAAACAGGTGGTACCTCCTTTACAGGTCTTTAACCAAGTGTGGCTTTGGAACAAATTTAATAGATGCTGAATCACATAGTAAATAAATTTAAATAAAGATCATGTACTTTAACAGGCCATTACCACTATAGCCTTAACAACAACAATACAATTATTATGTAGCAGTCATGATTTAGTTTCAAATCTATGACTGAAAGGACTGGAGAGGACATGGTTTCACGTGTTTAGCAGGTTTTTTAGTGCAACAGGTATTTATTTATTAAATGTGAAGACTTGGGTGAAATAATACTAGACACAGTGAAACTTATTCTTGACCTTGGAAATAGTGGTTTGACAAAACCTATTGTTATACAACCCTTTAAAAGGTAATAAAAAGCTACATTTTTAAAGCTGCTATAATAAATATTGTATGACAATAACTTTTTTTCACTGCCTCCAGTTAGCCAGAAGTCATTTAATGCTGTTTTAAGATCAACCACTGAAACTTAATAACATGTTTTTGTTCCTTCATTAAACGTTCTTAATCTTATGTGTCTTGAAATATATAATAATGACAAAATGTATATCTCATAACAGGGTAACATGTATATCTCATAATAGGGTGTAATACCAAATCGAGTGAAAATGATTCTGCAACTAATAGGGTTTGTTTATAGAATTTTAGAGTATATATTAGGATTACAGACTTGTAAACTAAATAAACACTATGCCTAACCTTGCATTCATTAGCTGAGACCTGTAATCAAAGCCATGCAAAGTTAAAGCCATTTGGGAGGTTATTGCTGTTTTCTGGTTTTGGTCTCCTGTTGCATTTTCTCCAGGGCTCCCTGTTCAGAAGATTCACTTTAAAAAACACACTCTCTCTCTCTTTTGACACTGTTTGCCGACTACATAAACCCGTCCAAGCATGTTGTCTCTCTGTCTTTGTCTGTCTTTCTATCTGTGTGTCATATCATTACGCTCTTTCCTGTCTGCCATAATCACCTACTGTACACTCCCTGTGCTCCGGCCCTATTCTGGCTCCACTGCTGACCTTAAGTCAAAGGAAGTAAGTCCATCCGTCCAGTCGGTTCTCTCTTCTCCATGTCAGTGCTTTGGTGTGATCCCGCCCCTCTGTCCAACCTGACTCTTGGGTTTGTGAAGTGCACTTGATGCATGTTGAATAATGATGTTGTTTATTGTGTCAACACTGCTGTACATTTTGATTTTAACAATGATTTTTGGATTCTGCAGCCAACTTTGCCTTTCCTTCCCTTAATTTCTTGTAATAAAATCCCTTCATATTGTACATTGTCTGGTATATTGACTCATACATAGTGTTGGTGATCAGTGATGTGACTAATGGACTTTCTTTTTAGGTATATTTTTGAGATGAAGGGCACACAAAGGATTATGGTTATCAACAACTGCTCCTTGAATGATGACGCAGCATATTCTGTAGCTGCAGGAGACGAAAGATGCTCAACAGAGCTGTTTGTCAAAGGTATCTCGACCGGTTCACCTTTATATAACTTATAAAGAACTGTATATATCATACGATATCTTGCAGATCGGTCAGTGTATGAATCAAAAAGAAATGTGTTGTTTTTCCTCTCTTGCGTTACAGAGTTGCCAGTGAAGATAGTTAAAAATATTGAGGCTGTGAAGACCACAGTGAATGAGAGGATTGAGCTGGAGTGCGAGGTGTCAGAAGAAGGTGCTCAAGTCAAATGGTGAGACTCATTTTAAGATGTCAAAAAATTACAAATCAAACTCAAACTGGACCGCTCTGTGGCCAGCCACTGGTTTGTCAGAGGAAAGGATAATGGAAATATGAAATATGTTTTTTAACCTCAACAAACTCACGTACAATGACTTTCTGACTGGATGCATTGTGGGTCGTGTAGTCATTAAAGGACATTAGCACTAACAGTCCTTTGACCATGACGTGTGTGAATGCGACTATTTTCAAACGCTTCTTCCTCCTTCAGGATGAAGAACGGTGTTGAGGTTCCAACAGGAGTGCGCTCCAGATACCGAGTTAAGTGTGAAGGAACAAAACACTTCTTGGTGATAGATGACGCCTCCAGGGAGGACACTGGGTCCTACTCCATCATGGCTACCGGCGGCACATCTGAGGCTCATGTACAGGTTGACTGTATGTAGCATCCAAGCCTTGTTCACAATGTCTGTGTCTTTGCATGTTTTTTAAAGGAATCAGTATTAATAATGTGCTCCATTCTGTTCTACACCTGTCTCATATTTTTAATTAGTGAAACCGCTGAAGGTGTTCCAGGACCTTCAGGATATAACAGTGTTGCTCGGTCAGCCCATCAACCTGCACTGTGAGATTTACCCGGGCAACGTCCCCGGTCGCTGGTACAGGAATGGACAGCTGATCCAGCCCAATGACCGCATCAACATCTTACACAAAAATAAGTATGCGATCCATTTTGAACTCCGTTCAATCAAAACCAATTTCACACAAACGCTGTCTAATGTAATTTTGGCTTTCCAGGTCTCATCGTCTTGAGATTGCGACCGGCTCCCTTCACGATGCAGGAGACTACACTTTTGTTCCGGAGGGATATTCACAGAGCCTCTCTGCCAAAATTCACATTATTGGTACACGACCTGTTCTTCATTGGACTGCGCAATTTTATATTTTGACATTATACTGAAAAAAAGCAGAATAACATATATGTTTATGGTGTAATTAAATTTTCTATAGACCCACCAAGGGTGCACTTGGAGAGCTTGAACTTCCCAGACAACACCGTGACAATTGTGGCGGGAAACAAACTTCGCTTGGAGATCCCCATCAGTGGAGAACCAGCACCCAGGGTGGTGTGGATGAAGGGAGAAAGGGTGAGCTTCAATCTATTTAGTGTTAAACTCTTTTAAATCATACGGCTGGCATTATTTTGATTTTTAATTTTAATTTAAATTTTGATAACAAATAAAAAAAACAGGAAAATACTCCATACCAAAGTACTACCCTATCCTGTGTCTTGCATTCAGGCCTAAGCCTTTCATTTTTTAGAAAAAGCAGCTGTGCAGTAGGTTTTATCAAACGCTACTTAAACAGGAATAAACATGCATTAATGAGGACTATTTCAAGACTCAGATTAAAGCACATTAGGTGCTCTTTTGAGTATTTTCAGCAGCAGGACTGTGTATGTGGGATTGACTCAAAATAAACTACAGCGGCCTTGTTCACAGTATTGAATGAACGTATCACGCAGTGCAACAGAGAGGCAAATTTAGGTGTTTGGAGCTTTAAAATAGGAATAAGTTATATCAGGCTTCGGAGACACAAGTTATGAATCATAAATTATGAAATAAATAATAAAATTGTTGGTAATTTCATGGGATTTATTGATAATAACAAAATATTCCCAGCCTTTCATTTTTACTTCACATTAAAGGCTTACATGTAATTATTTTTCTGTCTCATTTGCTTTAGGTGATTCTTGAGTCGGGCCATCGCGTCCGCGCTGAAACATCCGGCGACCAGACCAGCCTGACAATTGACGTCACGGAGCGGGAGGACACAGGCAACTACAAGATTGTCCTGCAGAATGAGGCCGGTGAAGCCACAGCCAGCATTAAAATCAAGGTTGTAGGTAAGTGATCACAAAAACACAAAGGTAGAGAATTGCATATAAGTTTCTTCAATCCTTAACATGACGCTATGTTTTCTGCAGACATCCCTGACCCTCCAGATGCTCCCTTGGTCCCACAGGTGGGCGGTGATTGGTGCTCAATGACATGGGATCCGCCAAAATATGATGGGAGTTCACCAATATTAGGTAAACGTCACTTATTACTTATTACAGCAGCTTAAATGTATGTGTAGGGGGTTAAATGACAAGCTTTCCGACCGTCCTCTAAAGGCTACTTCATCGAGAGAAAGAAAAAACAGAGCTCCAGATGGATGAGACTCAACTTTGACCTGATCAAAGAAACAGCATCAGAACCCAAGAAGATGATTGAAGGCGTGCCATATGAAGTGCGGATCTTTGCAGTCAATGCCATTGGTGTGTCCAAGCCCAGTGAACCATCCAAAGCCTTTACTCCCCTCGGTGAGTAGCCCAAATGTCTCCACTGAGCAGTCTAAACACTGGCCTGTGAGCTGTTACTGCCAATAATCTGTTCGGGAAAGTATTACGAGAGGCTTCAGTTTATCTAACCGTTTCATGATAATGGAGGAAATTTCAAAGAGTGGGCCAGTGACATGTGCATGTGTGATCTGCCCTTGGTAGCCCGGCGACGCAGCTGTTCCTCCCGATAGCCCACCATCCCAAGCATTCTGACAGTGACCTCCACTGGACATGCAGGAGCTTTAGAGGATATTAAATATGTCTTCATAATGCCTGCCAAATCATCTGCGGATTAGAGGTTTAGGAGATCAGGTCTGTCAGAGGGTTCAATAGGAGTTAAATGTGATTCAGAATACAAGAATAGATGGAAAGAGCAGGGACTAATGAGATCTGATATGCAGATTCAGAGCATACCAACCAGAGTGAGAGGTGCCTTTCTCACGTCTTCATGACTTGCCAAAATGGATATTTTGCGATATTGGTCATTCCCATTGTTGGACTGTTGCTATGATTCTGATCTCTAAACCTCTCTTCTCCACTCAGCTGTGACCAGTGAGCCAACCATGCTGGTCGTGGACGATGTCACCGACACCACAGTGACCGTAAAGTGGCGTCCTCCTGAAACCATCGGAGCTGCTGGTCTGGACGGATACTTGATAGAGTACTGCATAGAAGGAAGTGAGACAACCTCAAATCTACTAAAAGCCACGACAGACTGTGTGATTTTTGTTCTGTTCCAGACAAAAGTTGACAATTATGAGAGAAATGGTGTGAAACCTTTTACTGTTAATCTAAACTATTGGTCCTAAATCACAATGTGATACACCAGCAGCCGATTTAGAGCTTATGCACCCCAAATATAGCTGTCGCATAGTTTGTGGTGGCCTTACATTGTTTGCACATGTTTGTCACAGCCCACAATAAATTTCAGTGAATTTTTTATTCAGCTGGACTGATTTTTCCCTACAGCTGATGACTGGATAGTTTCCAACAATGAGCTGACAGAGAAGACCAAGTATACCATCACTGGGTTGACTCCAGGGACTAAAATTTTAGTTCGAGTCAAAGCCATCAACGCTGCCGGACCCAGCGCTCCACGGACCATTCAGCACTCTGTCCTGGTCAAAGAGGTTATTGGTGAGCTCTGAAAACTGCTGTGGAGTGTTTTGAACATGAACCTTTGTAACTTTCTGTTACATGACTTTAGAGTTGATTGTTTTGAAGGAAAAGATTGAAACAAACATCAATATTGACACCTTATGGTCTGTTTCCTCCTCAGAACCACCCAAGATCCGCGTCCCCCGACACTTGAAGCAGACATACACTCGAAGAGTTGGAGAAGCAGTCAACCTCGTAGTGCCATTTATGGTATAGCAACCTCCCGAACGATCAATATCCGCTGTGTCTTTGAGCAGAATCATAAACTGTGTATGTGATGTCTGCAGGGCAAACCCAGGCCGAAGGTCTCCTGGCTGAAAGAGGGCACGGCAATAGACCCAACCCACGTCAGCATCCGCAACACAGACTGTGACAGCATAATGTTCATCCGTAAAGCGGAACGCAGCCACTCTGGAAAGTATGAGATGGCTGTGCAGGTTGAAAACCACGTGGACACGGCCATTCTTGACATACAAGTCGTAGGTGAGTGACGTTTTTAACAGCATCAAATTCTGTCTCCTGAAAAAAATGCCCTAAAAGATATTAAAAGTCTTCAATTTAATTGAGAAATCTAAGTCTCTTCATTGCTGTCGACAGTAACAGTCACGATATTTTCTCTGATTGCTAGACCTACCCGGGCCTCCTCAGTGTGTGACCATTGAAGATGTTTGGGGAGGAAATGTGGCTCTGGTCTGGACTCCTCCAAAAGACAACGGCAACGCCCCGATAACAGGCTACACCATACAAAAGGCAGACTTGAAGACAATGGTGGGAGATCAATTTTACAAAATATACTAAACTGAAATTGCAAATGATCTGTAATAAATATTTACATTGACATGCTTCAATCTGCTTTTCAGGAATGGTACACATGCATTGAGCACTACCATCGCACCTGCATCACCATCACAGAGCTGGTGGTAGGGAACGAGTACTTCTTCAGGATCTTCGCAGAGAACATGTGTGGCCCGAGCGATACTGCCACCCAAACCAAGAAAAGCGCAGTCATCGTCAAAGAAGGTAACAATGACTGCCATATTGGCAAATGTCAATGGTTACTAACAATTTCTGATGGGGGAAAATGCTTCCAAAGTCAGAACCTTGGAACAAATCACCTGCATTTCACGTGTCAAAAATGTCAATAAAGTTGTCTTTTCATTTGCTGACTATTCTTTTCACAGCTGTTATCTGAAAGGTACTGTCAGTGATGTTTTCCACCTTAAAGCGAGTCTGAATTGATTTACAGACTCACTTTAAAATGTTGTAGACTCAGCCGATGATAAACAAAAAAATGTTGTCTTTCCCTCATCACTTAGGGAATTTCCCACATGATACCGCTCAGCGACAGTATCATGCGCAACCCCATTCCTTTACCCTTACCCCAACAGGCATGCAGCTGAAAACGCACGAGTTCAACGACCACGACTTCATGGAGGCGCCAAAGTTCACGCAGCCGCTGATCAACACTTGTGCTGTTGCCGGCTACAACGCTACTCTCAACTGTAGTGTCCGTGCCAACCCAAGGGTAGGTGCAGAACCACAGCAAGTTAGATGTGATAGTAAAGTGTTGGGTTACATTAGGCGCAGTCAGGGGGTGGGGAGTATTTGTAGTCCTTCAGGATCATGTTGTATTATAGCATTGATTCTCTTCCTAATGTGCCAAATGTGCTTGCTGCTGACGTTTCGGTTTTCTGACTGCAGGCCAATGTGATCTGGATGAAGAATAAGATAGCTATCCTCGACGACCCGCGCTACCGCATGTTTAGCAACCAGGGAGTATGTACTCTAGAGATCAGGAAGCCCAGCCCCTATGATGGCGGCATGTACACCTGCAAGGCCAGCAACAACCTGGGAGAGGCCCAAGTGGAATGCAAGCTGGAGGTCAAAGGTGAGTGTGGACCAGGATGGGAGCTCAGTGGGCCTTACTGGGAACCCGTCTGTATCTGAGTCTGGTTTCTCAAAGCCTTTCACCCTTCTTGTTTTATTTCTTCATTTTTACTGTGCCTTTGCCAAAGGAATAGTTTTTTCTTGATCTAAAAAAGAGAAACAGAAGAATCCTTTTCGTCACTGTCTTAGTATAAGGATGCAAAGGTGGCTTTGGGAAACCAACTCCACTGGAGTACTGTAGTGTTTGAACTTTGTCTACCAAAGGGCTAACCACATAGGCGCTGGACATGTAAGTATCTGGATTGAGCTGCACCTGCTATTCATAAATTCATGGCTACGGTAGTGTGGAAGTCCTTCTGAAGTTCTTAGTAACTTTTAACTAGTTCCTGGTCATTTCCTAATCGGGTTGCACTATTAGAACTTAAGGAATAACTGAGCTGTAGTAGTAAAGACATTATTAATCTATAAATTGGCTGATAGGAAACATCCGTAGCTCCATCCAATCCAAAGCAATGAACTATGGAAACAGGAAGTCACTGTAGCATCACGAGCTGTCACATAACTGCCGAAAATAACAGCATTAGGAGGCCAAACCATACATTTAACTTACCTGCTTATCATAAGTAAATGTAGGTTCGTCTTTATTTATATATGCATATATGAAGAAATATGAATGGCATGAGTTAGAAGCATTCAGTTTGTTTATAGTGTTATTTGAAATGTAGTTTTTGCAAAATGTAATTTCAGAGCATTTAAATCAAGTATCTGGTCACATGTGTGGACCATAGTATCTCTTTTACTGTTGACTCTAAACCATGTATGTATAAAGAGAACTGGATTCAGCAGTGGAGATGGGCCCCCGTTCATTCCTATGAAAGTTAAAGTAGTTTTCATCGTCGCCAAACCTTGTAATTACACTTCTGGGTCTGTCATGTGATGCCATTGAGCCCAAAAATACTTTTTCCCATTGACTTACATTGGAAAAAGAGAAGTCTGTAAATCGGTTGAATCTTTTCTTTTTTCATTAGGTCCTTTAAGTTGTAAAATTGTTTAATAGCAGAATCCAAAGTAAACTGCCGTTCATGTGAGCGGGCTGAGACTGAGCGGCTGGGAAGATCTGGGTAATTTTATACCAGGCAGTTGAACTTCGGATTTCCTTGGTATAAAATTACCTGGATCTTCGGCCCATAGAGCAATAATTGCGCCAGTGTTTCCTTAAACCCCGCCTCCCAACCACCACACAAAAATAACTCTATTGGATGCTATTTAAGTTTTATACTGTGTTCATTTACCTATTAAAAAAAGATCTGCAGAATTACAGATGTCCCTTTCACAATGCAAGTATATGGGGAAAAGTCATTTTTGGCATCACGTAATGGACCAAGAAGTTGTGATTACAAAGTTTGGCCACTATATCAAATTGGCCTCAAAGCCTGGCGCTGTTCCTGGGGGCTGTCTCGAAACTGGTGAAAATATCAGGCTAACGTTGTCAGTAAGCTCAATTAGCTCACTGACAAAGTTACATTAATCTCTATGCAAGAACTATTTGTGTGGTGCAACCCGTTATTTAATTTTCTCCACCAACTAATTGCTGTTTGAATTCATGAACAGTTGGTGCAACCGACTCCTGGACACCATTTTCTAAATAGATACAAATAATCCGTTCATTTGTGTGCAGTGCACAGTGTGTCTGGTGACACATTTCCATCACCACCACATGTAGATGTTTATCCCCCGTGTTCTCTATCCAGTCATCTTGTTCATCATCACAACAACACACAGTCTGTCACCAGTCGCACCTCAGTAGGCATAACATATAGAGCTGCGATGTTTTTGTGTTGTCTTAAACGATTCTCCACAGATTCCACTGTCCTCTTTATGCCACACAGTTAACTCCTCATATAAAAGAGTTCAGTAATAACTCAACAGTATTCCCTGGTGCACACATATAACTCCATGTTAACATTTTGTTAACCCCTCTTCTCTTCTCTCTCCCCCAGTCCAAACTCAAGAATTGTGAATGTATGTTCTCATATAAGGTAAGCTTTCATATGGTTTTGGCATATGAAGCTTATGTCATTCATTATGCATCTTCCAGGCTGCTTGTGTAACCTTGCTTTTCTCAGTCGGTGGGACTGTGGCAGCTTTTTCTTCCTCATGAAAGCAGGTGCCAGAGAAAGAACATGTGAAATCGGGCATTAATGAAACAAGGTTTGCATGACAACTCTTGCCAAATTATTCCCCGGTACTGCTTTGCTGGCTGAATTTTAACAGCCCTGTTTTGAATATTTTGAATTGATTGCCATAGTCGTTGGTGTGAAATGGAGTGAATTCAAAGACTACCTCTCATTTATTTTGTGCCACAGATAAGGTGAGTAATACATTTTGCAAACTTGCTAACCTTTGCCAAAGAATCCAGAGCTGGGAATGTGTTTTATATTATGTTGACATGACATCGACATATATTATATCTGCTGGTAATTAAAATCATACAGGATCCAAACAAAGCTTACTAACACTGGGTATTTTCCACCTTCCATTTGGACCTGAGTGATGAGTTGTGTATGACAGTTCCTGTTGTATCCCTTAGCTTACAGTGGTGGAAAGTAACATTTACTAAAGTATTGTAATTAAAGGGATATTTTGACATTTAGGGAAGTATGCTAATTTGATTTCTTGCAGATAAATGGGAAGATTGATACCACTCTCATGTCTGTCAATTAGATATGAAGCTACGGACAGTTAGCTTAGCTTAGCTGGGGATGCACCAATACTTATCTGATAGCAGGCCAATACTGACTCACATAGCTGGATGATGCTGATCTATTTAATGAAATTCTATATTTGTGTACTATATATTTTAACTCTATGACATTTATCTGTCTCTGCAGATTAAGATTTTATATACAAAACATGTGATCAGCCTCTAAAATATGATGACGTGTTGTAGGTTTAAGTGCCCAACAGTGTATAAATTGGTCAAAATGAGCTCCTCCTCAATGGTTGTTTTTACGCTAATTGATCTCAAAATCATAATCCAATAATTTAATATATATTTAAGTATACCACACTAAATGCTTACTTTTAATGTTTGCTATTTTAAGTACATTTGCCAATAAATAAAATGTTTTATGCATTATTACGAGAATAAATTTGCACTGTGGTACGATAACAAACTTAAATATAGGATATACTTCCACCACTGTTAGCATATTGTGGATGACTAAAGACAGTGTACGCTTCATTAATCTGGAATTGTATTTCAGTGGTATCAACCATGCTTCTGGTTCTGCAAGCCTGAGCAAACGCAGAGATTTACAAACTGAGTGTGCATTGCGAACATGAGCTATTCCGGCCAGATTTCTTTCCTCCTCTCACTCTTTATCCAGTGGTTTGAACTCCTCTCTTCTGTGCATTCTGTTTGTTCTGTCAACTTCTTGCTCTTCTCTTCCTCTTCTCCTTCCTCTTCTTCTCTCTGTTTTTCACTCTCCACTTCCACCTCCGCCTCTCCTGACAATATTATGAGTTTTTCCTCTCGTCCCTCAGGAGGCTTCACCTTCTACGAACTCATGCAACGCGGAGTGCCCCTACACCTGATTGACAAGTACATGACCGAGAAGATTGTCGAGCAAGAGAAGTAGAAACCGGATAGAGTGCAATGAGACACTTAAGCTTTGCTGACATCTGCCGCTGATAGTGATCCTATTCTCTCACCTACTGAGGTCAGCGGCCTGAAGGTTGGATGGAGGGGCGATGGAGGGATGTCGCGACTGATGGGGGAGTGTGGGGGGAGGGTTTACTGGTCTGTGGTGTGGCATGCTGTGTGCAAGTTTGGAGCTAATTACTATAGAAATATAAAAAGCCAGGTCACTTTTTTGTCCACCCTCTTGTGTTCCAAATACTGTGTCAGCTCAGATGCATGCCGGCAGTGTTTTGGTAGCTTTGATAAGTACATGTAGCGTGTAAAAGAAAACTAAAAAACAACATATATAGCACAGTGACACACTTGCCGTATTTTACATGTTGATTCTTGTTGGGAGTGTTTGCTGAAGGTGATAATTTATTTCCGGGGTCTGAAAGAAGGGAAAAGGGAGTGTATAAACAATGTTTGGGTGTTTTTATTTCATGTCAGAACTTATATATGCGAGAAAAATATAAATAGACCAGAGTAATGTTGGATAAATGATGTGCAGACTCTTCTAAGATAATTCACATTAATATAATTCAATGAATAATTGTTCATTTCACTTTTTCTGTGTGGGTCATTTATGTCAAATAAGTGCGTAAATGTAGAGGTTTACACACAGCCCATATTCTGCACGACACTATGCTTTTTAGATTCATATTGGACTTGAGGTTTGATTGATGCTCAGTCATGTGCGCATGCATTTACCTTTGTAATTATGACCCATGGAGTAAAATAAAAAGTAATTTTAAAATGTGATTTTGCTTTGAGTACTCTTTTTCTTTGGATTATAATACTATGACTTTTTTGATTTATTGTGGTGCAAAGGGTGGACGACACCTTACTTAAATCCACTTGACTTAAAATATATGCAGGACCTAAAAAAGTAATAAATGAATGAATATATTTATTAATCAAAAATAGCCTAAATTTATAAGAAAAAATCAATCACTGTGGTCACATCCTTGGAATTTCTTCAAGGAATTTGGGTGGTTTATATTATAAAATTAAACACTCACACATGTGTGTTTCATTGGATTATTCCAGTAGATTTAGATTCATTAAGATTAAGGATTCTGTATTTCTCCACCACAATTAGTTCAAGGCGGTGTGAATTAAGACTTACATGTGCAGAAAATGTAACAGCTAAATTGAATGACTACAGTTTGTGAGGGGAATAATAAAGTTATTATATGGCCAACCTAAATATATCAATACAAACCAGGAGGAGTAACATTCAAACATGAATATGTGAATATTTTTAATTTGCTGTCATTTTAATATGATGGAATACATGGATAAACAATTGCTTCACATTCCGTGTTTGACAACTTGTAGTTAAACTTGTTTTTTATTTTACACATGCCAACCAGCAGCGTTTAACATTTGCATTGTTAGTTTCGTAGTTTAAATAAATCTCGCGGATGCCACACGTCCACAGTTTCATTTAAACTTCCCGGTGCACCGCCTAATCATTCCCTTCCGGATTCTCACTTCCGGCCGAGACGCAACTTGATCAGAAACGTACGCGGAGTGTCGACATCTCATGGTTCCGCTGTGGAAATGGCCTCGTCTGGTCACCTAGCTATAAATGCCAAATGAGCGACTATTTGTTGGAGTCGGCCGAGAGAAGATAGCCCCGTCTGAGCCGCTAGCTTACCCGGGAGTGTTGGGAAGTTTGTTACGGTAATTTGCGGTTGGTGACCAGGCAGAAAAAACAATGCCACATTTCTTGTGGCCAGAGTCGCTGTCACCCGCACAACTCAAGCGGCTGGAGGAGCATAAATACAGCGCCTCTGGTCGATCTTTGTTCGAGCCACCGTGTCAAATCTACTGGAACTGGCTCGTCCAACAAATACCGACATGGATCGCCCCGAACACCCTGACTATTGTTGGACTGATGGTGAACATCCTCACCACGGTGGTGCTCATGTATTATTGTCCCACGGCGACAGAGGAGGTGAGTACATCGACCTTGGTTAAAGTTTCTACCCGGAGACCATAGCGCCACTTAAGTGTCCTTCTCTGGTATGGAAGGAACGCGCAGTCCTCCATTCACAAATTGCGTAAATTAACGTTACGTGACCACCGGGGCGCACACTCCACATGACTCACAAGCTATAATGTAGGACATGTCCTGAATCAGCGGGGTGTACTTGTTAATTCGGCTTAAATTTGAGCCTCACAGCCACTCGTATTTTATTATTATTCCCACTTCATGCTAACGCCCAGGTGTGTTTTGGCAGTTGATGGTGGTGTTTTTGTGTTGAAGCCGAATTAGACTCTGTCTCCCGTTGATTGTGGACAAACCTTAAACCATACGGTGTCACGTCTGCATGGCCACATATACGACAGGAATCTTTAAATTGTCGGATTAGGGAATATAAGTGTCCGTCATGTGGGGTTTTTTTTTGGGGGAAAGTTGTCAGCTTTGACGTGTTGTTGTCGTCCGCGCAGGCTCACGTGATGCGGCATTGTTGATGGTAAAACAGACATTTGAAGGGAAAATGTTTCACGTGCTGATGTGAAATGGTTCCACATCTATCCTATGTAGTCTCAACTACATATTCCTTAAACTGTATACCTCTAATGCACCAGTATGTCTTGCAACAAGCCTGTGACCTATGATCCAGTTAACTTATGTCACCAGGTTCACTGTGGAGCAGTGTCCTAATCAGCACTGCATAGGTGTATTCGTTTATCAGATGTATACCTTTGTCCAATCCAATTATGACAGCCTTGCAACCAAGTCCACAGTCCATGCTGTTACTGTCAAATTCCACATGTGCAAAGGCATTTTCCATGATTTAGCATTGCATAAGGCATGGACTTGTAAATGTATGAATGTCACATGTCTTTGTACGCATACGAACACAGTTCAGAGATGTTAAAAGTGTAACCTCTGACCTAAACGAGCGGGATCGGTCCCCACCAGTCCGTGAGGCATTTAGGACGTGGACTTAGAAGAATACAGCAGGATCTTATAATATTTAGGACAGCATGAGATTCTTGATCTCTCCGGAAAACACAGGCTTTCTTTGTGTCCCTCTCTCACACACTGACAAGCATACACACAACTGCATCCTCTTAGCATGCACAGTCGACTCTATAGTTTGCTGTGGCCCCTCGTCTGTGGAATATCAGATAAAATAACTTAATATGCACAGGTTTTTAACCAGGAACATTGTTTCATTATCAATTTAGTTGATAACAGCCTCAAAAGTGAGTGCTCAAATCAATCAATCAGTTATCAAAAGAGTCGCATTATTTTTCTTTTTGCTTTAACCAACGACAACAAGGCTGTGGTCCTTCTTGTCTAAGTCAAGTCTCTCCCACCCCCAGGCTCCAGCATGGGCCTTCATCATGAGCGCTCTGGGCCTGTTCATCTACCAGTCTCTGGACGCCATTGATGGGAAGCAGGCCAGGAGGACCAACAGCAGCTCGGCTCTGGGGGAGCTCTTCGACCACGGCTGCGACGCCGTCTCCACAGGTGCTTTACCGCTCACTGGGCAACTGAACCTAAACTGTAATTCTTTTCACATTTGCAGAATCAGCTGCATTAGTGGCTCAGTGAGAGATGTTGATTATTAGTTTGTCCGTTGTTCTTTATTCCTTCTTTCAGTCTTTGTTGCGGTGGGAACGTGTATTTCGTGTGGCATAGGAAGATACCCAGACTGGATGTTCTTTTGTGGTTTTATCGGGATGTTCATGTTCTTCTGCGCTCACTGGCAGACCTACGTGTCCGGCACCCTCCGCTTTGGCCTGTAAGTCACATGTTTTCCCAGTATTAATACAGATGCTGTAATATAACCCGTATATAACTGTGAAACTGCTAACTTAAATTGATTACTCGCACTCTTCCCTGATACTTTCTTCACAGGATTGACGTCACAGAGGTGCAGCTCGCCATCACCATCATGTATTTGATGTCGGCTTTCGGAGGCGTGAGCCTTTGGCAGACGACGGTAACTGAGAACCCATGGACAGATGCTTGAATACTGTCCACACACACACAGGAACACTTTCATTTCACCTTTTATAGTGAATGTTTTCTTCTCCATTACTTTTTTTTTTTTTTACACCAAATTAATTATCTGATCAGTTCGTAGTTTTTAGTCGTCGTCCTAGTCCTTGAATAGAATTTGTGTTTTACTTTTACTCTGCTGCCTTTGGAGGCTTGACTTAACATCACATGAGAGAAGTGAGAAGGTAAATATGTGGAGCTAACGCCACGCCAACAGGTCATCCATCAGACATGGTCTGGCTCAAAAAGCAGATGATGTCGCTCGCATTTCTTTTATTTGCTTTGCCCTCTCATCTCGCTCGGCATGCACTGCAGCTTTCATACACCTGTCGTCTTACTACCAGGAGAGTGCCGCGTGTCTTTGCATTAATTTGACCTCCACTTGTTTCCGTAGTTGCCCATCATCGGACTGAAGATGTACGTCTTCCCCATCGTCGGTATCATCAGCGGGGCCCTCTACTCCTGCTACAACTACTTCCATGTCATTTTGAATGGAGGTGTTGGCAAAAACGGCTCCACTGTGGCTGTAAGTCCACAAACCTCTTCCCACTGTACACACAGTCTGGATGTAGAACCTATACATCTCTATTGTGACGCATGCTTCATCACATTCCCTCTGTTTAGGACACCAGTGTGCTGACTCCTGGTCTGCACATCGGCCTCACCCTCACACTGGCCTTCATCATTTTCAAGAAGTCGTCCAGCCAGCTGTTTGAGCTCAACCCATGTTTGTACCTGCTCGCCTTTGGCTTGGTCGCCTCCAAGATCTCCAACAAGCTGGTGGTACGTTCATCTTGTCTTTACAGTTACTTTTTAACTGGTTATGAAACCGCTGTTTATATGAATTCATATTTGGAAACACTACCGCTTCCGTCCACAGGGACTGCCAAAATCGACACACAATGAAAGTTCCTCGTAGTGAGTTGATGCTTACTACCTGCAAAGTGCAGATACCGGTTGAGCAGCATATTTGTGGTGTATTTGTTTACAGCCACTGTGTGTGAAGGCAATTTGAATCTAGTGCTGGACTAACAATGAAAACAACTATATACTGTTCTGGGATACTTACACACATCACATTAAATCCTGACTATAATATTGGGTTTGATTCCATGTTTATCTAAAGAATTATAACCTAAGTTAACAATCATAACATCAAAGTTGTTTCTCATGTTTCCTCTGTTTGTATTTAGTCAGAATGTACCTAATCCGTGTTTTTATTTCCCTCATGTTTATCTCTGTAGGTCGCACACATGACCAAGAGTGAGTTGCACCTCCCGGACACGGCCTTCGTAGGCCCCGGCCTCCTCTTCCTAAACCAGTACTTCAACAACTTCATCGATGAGCATATAGTCCTCTGGATCGCCATGGTCAGTGTTTGACACATTTATAGTGGTATTAAGGGTTCCTTCTTTATTAAAGGGGTACTCCAAAGAATTATTGATTGTCAATAAAAAGTCTGGATGTTTTTGAGAGATTGTTCAGTTTAGATTTAAAGGGTTGAAAACAAAGACCCCATTTGCATTCAGAGCTGCCCAAATTTTGGAAAAGGCATTATATGTAAAGGCATGAAATGCTCTCCTTAGTGGCTGTTTGGATACTGTGGGCTGATTCATGAGGCTGCACCCACGACTTATCCAGCAAGCAAGCAAGCAAGCAAGCAAGCAATTTTTAAGGTTGTTGCAGAGAAAACCAGAAAAACCAACCAAACTGTTTCCTGATTTATACCTTCTATTCATTTCATTGCACGCCAGCTTGTATTTAGAGCTATAAATTGTGATGAGCACACGTAAGCACAGCCTGGTTCTCAGTCCTGTTGGCTTTCAATTTAACCGTCTAAATCAGCGACTCAAGTCATTACAGCTGCAGTTCAAGGTTTAGTTCAAAGTCGCTTTTAGACCAATGAGATGACTTGATATACTGGATACAATACAACTATTACAACTCCACACCTAAGAGGCATCTTATACCCATTTCAACCACAAATTGCACAAAGATCCGTACCACTTGTTCGCTTTGAATTGATTTATATATCTGGTTACAGTAGCTGTAACATCCTGTGTGGTTTGCGTGTGAAAGCAGTACTTGTAGTGGAGGGATTTTTCGCCACAACTTCACCAACATCCAAAGTGCATGGAGAAGGCAACTATGGCGTTCATCGTGGGCAGAAAATAAGCAGTTGAAGAGGTCGCAGGAGCTTCAACCTTTACTGAAAGCACTGGTTTCCCTCGAAGGCCCGTCACACCCACACAGGTGTTTTCTAGTTATTCTGGCTGATTAGACCGCAAGTCACGGCTGGAAAACCACAGGTGTCACTAATAACATTAATGACACCTGTTACTGTGTATGCTGGCTTACTGGGACACTTAAATATAACAGAGCCTGTGCTTTTTCTCTACTATGACGAGGATAAATATCTGCTGTGGACCATAGATGTGGCATGCACCTAAGATATTACATTTAATATAACAAAATGTATTTATTATAGCACCTTTTTGCAGTCAGTATTTCTTTATACCAGCACATAGTTTCACTTTGCTCCATGTTGTTCACAGTCGCAGCTCTCTTTCATAAAATATTACCATTAATGCAGCATTTGATGTTTGATCCTCTCCGTCTTTCCTCAGGTCTTCTCTCTTCTGGACCTAACACGCTACTGTACCGGCGTGTGCCTCCAGATCGCCTCCCACCTGGGCATCCGAGTCTTCAGCATCACGCCGTCGAGTCAGGCGCACCGCGACTGACTGCTTGCCCGGCGGGAGGAGGCGGGGCGAGACGCAGATCTCTCTCCGCTGCTGAAAGCAGACGATGACGAGGAGAAACCCTCCTTTACCCCGAGCCACTGCAGCCTTGACAAAGTGACCACTTCTGATTAAAACTGCCTCTCCCACAAGATGGAAAGAAATATAACCAACTAAACACTACAAACCAAAATGGAAAAAAAAAAAAAAAATTTGAAAAGCATGGAAGTGACATGGAACCAGTTTCCCTTGGATTCCTTTTTTTTTAGTTTTAATTTAGACATCATTGCATGTTGTCAGAAAATAAAGTTTAGATTTTTACATCGACTTCCTGCTTATTCAACTTAAATACCAAAACATTTTCTTTAACCGGTACTCCATAGTTTGGGCAAATATTAAAGCATTTTATCTGCTTTAAATTTACAGACGCGTGTCAAATATATAGGGTTATACATTTAGCAATCATAAGTGCTCAATTCGGTGAATCTCTTGATATATGCCCAAACTAAATTGATCACCGGTTGAAAGTTTTCTTTATAATTTTTTTTATTCATTAAATGAATGTGACTCAATCTGGCAAGAATCAGGGCTTGAAAACGCAGATTCAAATTGTTTTAAAATGACCTTTAAAACCTCAAATAATTTCCAATGAAGTTTGTAATGTGGACTGGCAGGTTGTCAACGTGTCGGGGCAACGGCCTGTGTTAGTGCTGAAAACATCGACAGGTTTTCGATCAGGCTTTTCTTTAAAAAAAAAAAAAAACACCTTTCTATTAATATTTTATCCTCTGTTACTCATCTCATCCTACAATACTGGAAAAAAAAACAAAAAACATACTCCTCACCTCCTGCCTGTTAGAGCGCCGTCGACTGATGAAGCATTAACGCACGACTTGTTCTGCTTTCTCTGTTCTTCTCCCTGAAGGGCTAATAGCTAAATATGTGATTGTACAGAATTCAACTGAAAACGCCTTAAATATTTTTGTTGTAATTACTGTTTAACTTGTGAATATTTAAAACGGCTTTGTACATTTTTCTTTTTCCACTGAAGTATCAAACCAGATGCAACGATAGTAATAATAATACGATGCTACTGGAACTGTTCACTCATAGTTTCTTCACTTATACAAATGTGTATTATGTAAAGGTGTCTGATTTATTTGGTTCTTAAAGATTTGTTGGATTATCATGGATATCATTGCGTTATCTGATTTATTCATAATTCAGGTTAATTTGGTTCAAAAGCGATATTTCTGTAGTGCCGGTAAACAATATATAAGGGTAAAACACAATTGTACTCTTGAATTTGATTTGGAAAAGTGTCCTCTCACACTCTGCTTCTGCAGGATTATGGACAATATAGAGGGGCATGTCCTAAAAACAAATATGATTTTGCAAATTTACGATGGACTTCGGAACTATGCATTGAAATGTACAACCTTTATTTCAACACCATGTTACACTGTTTAATAATACAGTAAAACACCTTTCTAACAGATACTGTATGAGTGGAAAAGATTGTAATAAAGAAAATATTTTTCATGTGATGTGTTACTGTCAGTGGTGAATCCTTTACTAAAAGTGGCAATCTCAAAAGATTTTCATTTAAATACATGTTGAAGGGAAACTTCGGTATTTTTCAAATTGGACCCTATTTCCCATGTTTGTGTCTTACTGACTGATCAGGGCAGATAACGAAGTGCCTTGAAATTATTGAAGTCTCGCTCAAGGTGAAGTATCGTTCTGAAATATCGCGATATGACGTGCTGCTGGAAGCTAACGAGGGAAACGTGAGTACCAGCTGGTCAGTGATTGTAGTGTTGGAGTAACGTTACAGATAAATGTTCTGAAAGTATCAACATTTATTTTATAGCTAATTAGCAACATACTAGCATGCTAACACTAAACTAGGATGGTTAACATGGTAAATATATCTGCTAAACATCACGTTGTTAGCATCACATTGTGAGCCAGTTAGCATGCTGGCGTTAGCATGTAGCCCAAAGTAAAGCCTCACAGAGCTGCTAGTATGGCTGTAGATTGTTTTTGTGAAATATTGGATCATTTTACTTGTTTGGGTAACAAATAACAATTTTCATAAAACCGTGTGAGAAGTTCATTTAGAAAACAACTTTGGTGGAACTGCTAACAACTCAGACGCTTGAAACAGAGGCCCCAACTAGATAGATTTATATTTTAAACTTGAATCTAAAAACTAAGAATAATAGTCATGTCAATAGTAATGTTGAGTAAAAAATACAATACTTCCCTCTACGATGTAATGGAGTATGAAGTGGCTCAAAATTAAAATGTTCCAGTAAAGTACCCCAAAATTGTACTTACAGTGAGTATATTAGAGAAGGTGTGCTACGCTACATTCACACATGACAAAAACACCAAGATGACTGAATCAAGCCACATTTTATTGTATTTGGAAGAGCCATTGAACTGATGCAATCTGAGAGATGCCATGTAACTCATCACCTCGCCTGCTAACACCATACAGTACATCAAGACTGTTATGGCAGCGGTAAAATGCTGACAACTACTACTAGTCACTTCCTCTTTCTGTCATATTAAAGAACTTTGTAAAACTGACATTCAGAGGAAAAAGTTGGAGCAGTTGACGAGCATTGTCTGAGGCTATGTTTACATTCTGCGGCATTAAAATCAGCTGCATCAGTCATCGGGCTCACTGTCACAATAATACAATCAAAATAAGTTACAGATCATGCTGAGGGAGTCTGAATTTCAGACAGTAGCGAGCCTGTTGAGTCCCACAGGGACACACGTACAGGAAGCTATGAAAGCTGTAGTATTACATGTAGCTCCAACAATCAATTAAATTTGTACCACATTAAGAATCACATTATCCTATATCCCATTCATTCTCATTGTAAATCACTAGATAAGGGTGATGTGGCCAACATTTAGGACATATTTATAAAAAAAAACAACTAAAGGAGATAAACCAAAAATGTTCAAACAAGCAGGAATGAACAAAGGCACTTCAAGTTTCCATGTTTTTAACGACAGACAACAACCAACACTTGTTTTATTCATCCTATATGTACCTTAATGTCCTTAAAATTAAGCCATAGTGATAAAAGCCAAACACAACCAGGGCTGCAGGTGAAAATGAGTTTGATCTGCTGAACATTTTTGCAATTAATCGTTTTGTATATATATAAAAAAAAAATTATAATTATAAAGGCCAACCAGATAGCTGAGGCCTGAGCACCGATTTGGACGAAGTGTATTCACTTTCCCCACATTTCCGGTCTCTCTCTCCACTGTTGCTGTCAAAAAGCCTATCACCATTTCCACAGCACCCAAAGGTGATGTCTTCAAAAGTGTTTGTTGTTTAACTAGCAGTCCAAAACCCAAAGATAAGTAACTAACGGTGATATAAAACAGGGAATATACTCTGATTTAAGAAGCTGGTAACAGCAAATGTTTGGCATTTTTCCTTAAAAAGTGACTCAACCGAACCAGCTGCTGTCAAATGTTTCACCCTTTAACAGCACATCAATCAATAACATGGTGAGAACAGGACACGGGGAGGGTGGTGCAGTATGGAGGGAGTGTTTGTTTGTGTAGCTGCAAATGTGTGTGTTGTACAAAAGCCTCAGATGCCCCCAGCGGAGGAAAATAAGTATCACTGGCTTCTTCTTTCTGGCTGCCATTCCTTTCACTGGCCAGCCCCATCCATTATCTTATGAAAAATGCTTCATCGCCATCTCACATGAGTCTATCCACTGTACGTGCTGATGCAACACAAGCACGGAGGACTTCAGATTCCCGTTTCCACCCAGTCCTCCGGGCTAAATCCTCTCTTCCGAGCAGGTGAGAGAGGGCGGACGTCGTTGGAAGAGCAGAAAGAAGAGGAAAGGGAAGTCTTCTCCCCCCCCCCCCTTTTTTTTTTTTTTTTTTTTTTCACACCCGCTCAGGGTTGCTGTCCCCGTTTACTCTGCGTCTGGGGAACAGCTTTCGCTTCAGCAGAATCAGCTGCAGGGAGAGGGGAGAAGAGGAAATGGCATAATAAGAAACAGTATGCAACTAAGGGAAGACAAGAAAAAACTTTGTGTGGTCTGTCAGCAAGAGGATGACTGTGATAGAGATGGGTGGGGATGTTAAGTGGTATCGACGTTCTGAATTAAGACTTAATTACTCAAAAGGACTTTGACACCAAATTCCCCATAGACCGTACGTAACCCAAAGAAGCAAAGATAATCTTAGGAGTAGGGCAGCAGAGTAAGATCACCTCCTCTGGATGAAAGACACTTTTGATCTCTCTGTTCTAAACTGTACAAAGCTGACTCAAATGTCTTAATGACAGCCAGGCTCATGTGGTGCCAAAAAGACATCAAAAGTTTGTGTGGTGACGGAGACACTGGACACGTTCCTATCTGGGAACATGTCCAGTTGGTCCCACGCGGTGCTGTGGGGAAAATTCTCCTACGGTCACCGTACCTCTTAACCTTTCTTTGGTGTTGGCGGAGGAGAAACTGGAAACCTTTGGATTAGGGAAGCGCTTCTAAAACAGCTCAATGTCAAACTGTGGCCGAGTGGTAGTTGTTAAACATTTCCTGACATTTGTTTTAATCTCTTTCAAGTAACAAATTGGAGGAATTGGACAGGAAAGTCGTCCAAACTCACTATCATGATTTTTATATTATTTGCAGGAGTGTTGTTTCAGATATAAATCCCACTTATCTGGCAACAAAGAAGTCTGAAACACATAGAAATACTGTCTGATCCAAGTCAACAAAGACTTCTCAGAGGACCGCTGGGCGTCTTTCATTTCTGTAAAGTCAGGCTCTGGCTCAGCGGCTCATACTATTGCGACACACGAGACGGATGCACCTCCGAGTGGAACTTCGGCAGCGAAGGCCTGAATCATAGCTCAAGTGTGAATCATGGAAACGGAGAGGTGTGTGTGTGAGCGAATGTCCGGGTGTCTTTTAACTGAATGTGTGAATAAAACTGCGTGTGTGGTCCGAGTCGGACACACTGACCTGTTCAGCGAAGAAGGACATGATGGTGAAGATGACGAGCGTTACGAGGACACAGTGCGTCCAGAACTTCAGCTTGTCCCGATATACTCGCCTGCGAAAAAACACGGTTCGTTTTAAATAAAACAACAGCAGCAGATGTAGAAACTATTGGGCACGTCTCCCTAGAGGGGAGGCTAGTTGTGATATAACAAGGAGGAAACATACAATATGCAGAGGGCAGCAGGGCGACAGGGTGACAAGGTGACATCACCCAACGCCATCTGGCAGTTACTTTACTAACTCAAAGACAGAAGCGGGAGGTCAGGAGACGGGGGACTAGACGGGAGGCTCAGCTGTGTAATGATCTTGCAAGTATCTTACAGCTAGCGACTGATCTGAGGCGGCGTGGTCTAATTTTAAAGCCTCTATGAGAGCCTGGCATTCTCCCATGAGTACAGGAGCAAGATCCCTGACCAAAGCCCCTGAAGGCTTCCCACTGCTCCAAACTGGCAACGCTCTGCTCCACGTGATGACAGACACAAAATTCTTATCTCAGGCCGATTGTGGAAAAAGAAGCGCTTGATAAATTACCAGCCCGCGTGCAACAAGGACTCAAAATGATCTCTAAACTTCACATCGTACCAATCCTGGAGCTCTTCCATATGCAGGAATCTGTTGCGGTACTCTCTTGGCAGTTCAAACTGGGATGGCAGCGGGAACATGGACTCGTAGAAGTCTCTCAGCACAGCTTTCACTGTGGCAGCGTCCTTATGGCTGTGGTCGATGTTATCGTTCAGACAGATGAACTTCCTGTTGGGAATGAATGAAAATACAGACCGTAGTACAGAGGTGAACTAAGAGGTGAACTTTGGTTGCATCACAGATGGAATATGATCAAAAGAAAGGCAAAAATCTGAAGTATTTCCCACCTGGGATTCTTCCTAATGTCATCTAACTGGCCAACCACATGGGAAACATTTGTCCGCACCATCTTGAAAGCGATCTCCTCCTCCCCCATGATCTCAAACCTGTCCAACAGAGCACATGTTAGCAGCAGCAACAGAATATCTGATTTTGAATACATTTTCAAAATGAACAATGGCACTTAAAGATCTCACTTGTACTTATTCTGGTCTCTGAAGGCTTTCTGGATGCGTTCTGTGATGGGCTTGCAGTAGAGGACGAGGCCTTTTGTGACAGGAGGCTGTGGATTGAACAGCAGTTGCAATGGATTGAAGCGATTTTTATTTGAGGTTTTCTCTTTTTCCAAGCAATTTACTTCAAGTGTTGCTCACCATGCTGGGGTCGTAGTAGGCCTCCTGTGTTGGGCTCACCAGGTGGAGCTGGGTCAGGTTAGTCGGGAGAGTCTTAGAGCAGTTTATCAACATCTGCTCCAGGCCTGTCAAGTCCTAGAAAGTGCAACAGAGAAATATTACACACTTTGAAACCGGAAGAATTCTTGTACTCTATTATATGACGAGTCTGGGATAGAAGATCTATCAAAGCCAGGACGGACCTGGAGGCTGAGTGGCAGCTCGTGGATCCTCGTGGCCAGAGTTCGAATCTCTCGGTCGGAGAGGACGCCCGAGTGGTCCGTGTCGATCTCGTCAAACACCTCAGACACGTTGAGCTGCTGTTGAGCACTCATCAGGAAGTAGAAGTACGAGAAGGCGAACTGCATGTCCTCTGGGTGACGAACGCGATGGGCTGACGTCTTGTCAAACGCCTCTGGGAATCTGAAGAAAAGAGCGCGGAACCGTTTGAGACGTCACCTCGTCGGGAATGTCGTAAAACAAAAGAATCTGTGACACACTCACGTGTCCTGCAGCTCCTGCATGATGAGGCGGTCGATCATGTGAGGCATGTGTGCGGGGACTTTGCGCGACGTGAATCCAAACTGGCCATTGAGCAGCTTGTTGACGTAGCGCAGCGAGTCGGCAAAAGTGTCCCGCAGCCTTCGACCTGTGGCGGCACCGTCGGCCTCATACGACAATTCTCTCTGCAGACGCTCCTCTTCCTGTAGAGTCAACACAGAGAGATTAATATTCAGAGAACTCTAAATGCTTGAGTTGAAAAGTGGAAATAGGCCCTGCTTACCTCGAGCAGTTTCTGGAAGTATTTCCTCCTCTCCCACGGCAGGAAGCCTCTGTCTGAGGAGATGAAGTGTTGAAGTCTCCTCCCGAAAGGAGCTCCTCCTGCAGTTTCTTCTGGCTCTGCCCGACTCTCCGCGCTCTTGGTTTTGGAAATACTGTCTAGTAGTTTGGAAGTCATGGGCCTTTCTATCACAGCCTTCAGATCGTAATGTTTGGGAGCTAGTTCCTCATGCTCATCATCAGTGTGGACGGGAATAAAATGAGTGACAGCCACGTGTTTCCTGGACATTTCCTCTTTTGAGTTTCGATTTTTCTGAACGATATTTCCTGCTTTGTCTTCCACGGGTGGTTTTCCTTCTAACTGCTCTGCCTCCAAGTCTTTATCGGGCTTTCCCTGGACCTTTTCTGCACCCTCACCAGCTGGTTGTGAATCGATGTCCTGCTGCTTTTGAGCCAGAGTCTTGAAAGGTTTTAAAAGTTCAGCCTTAGTGAGGTTATAACCCTTCATAGTAATGTCACCGATCAGAAGCTTCTCTTCCAACTTTTGCAGCTCACTCTGCACAGCAGCTGGTAGAAGTGACACATTCAGCGAGGGCACTTCTATGACACTCAGAGGTTCACCAGGCAGCCTCTTCTGGATCTTAGGACCGCGTTTGTCCTCAGGAATATCCGAGAACGGGACCGGTGGCTCTAGAGCCGGGGTCGGCTTTGGGTCTTTGTCGTCCTCTTTGCTCGCAGCCTGGGTCACGTTAGCCTGAGGCAACTCGCGGGTGTCGACAGCCACACTGAAGCTCATTATGAACTCTGTGTCGTCTTCTTTCTGGAAAGTGAGATTGTACTGGATCAGGGTGGCGTTGTGGCCCGGGTGCAGCAGCAGGTGAATGGTCTTCCACTTGTTGGCGACAGAGGTGTGGCGAAGCGCCGGGTTGTCACTGACGTGGGCCTCGGAGATTCTGCGGGCCAGTCTGTCAAAGCTGAAATACGGCCTAGTTTCACCTACTGGGAGGGTGTACAGGCTCTGATTCCGCATCAGGGTCACATGACGCAGCTCGCCAAAGTGCTCTACAACAGAAATTAACACATGTTAAAGGATAAGGCTATTGATCCCACAAAAAACCCTTGATAAGACCAACACCAATAACGTGTGGGCTAGAAAATATCCTGTCATTTAACTCACCTTGGCCACAGTCTCCCACATCAAACCCACAGGAGAGAACATTGCAGGCCTGGTCACAGAACTTGTCCGCCAGCCAGGAGTTGGCACAGCCTTGATTACAGTACGACGTTCCCCCAAGACCTCCTAAACCACCTGCGAACTGCCACACCTGTCCGCCACCTCCACCGGCCCCGCCACCGCCGACCCCGGCCACAAACCGACCGATTCCCGCTGCACCTGTCGGAGAAATAGGAAAAACATATTCGACATGAATCAAACAAATGAGCATATTTGCGCAGGAGAGATGATTGAGTCGATCTCTTTACCGAGGCAGTCTCCTCCATCCCAGTCACAGGCAGAGTTGTTGCAGGCTTTGTCACAGTAGCCATCTTTGATCCAAGATCCTGGGCAGCCCTCAGCACAGTTGGGGACAGGCCAGGTGAGATACACCTGCAGGCAAGGGAGGAAAGAAATAGTTACTTGCAGGAAGCAGTCTGTGCCACACAAGTCAACTCCCCGGTGAGCCGTTTGTTATGTCGCTTTCACACCTTCTGTCCTTTGGAGTGGCTGTAGAAGTCGTCCGGCCAGACGTCTTTGCCAAACATCACATCGTCGTTGAGGTAAATGAACTTCTGAGAGAGCCCGGGGATACGGTGGATGTGGGTCTCTATGGAAGGGGAGCTGAAAGTGGGAAGGTGGCTGTTGTTCTGGAAGATATCCTAAAGTCAAAGAAAAACATATTTACACTCTTATAATAAGCTAAACATAACATTTCCAACCGATACAAAGCATAGTTTTCATGAGTGCCTCAAAAAGAGATTTCAGGAAATTAGTTCGCTGCTTTGATTCTATAAAACATAGTTAAAGCTCGTAAACATAAACATAACGAGCACAATTTAACCATATGTTCTTGGCCGGGGTGTTATGACAAGTTCACTACTTTGTTTTTAAGACATGACATCGGGTTAGGAGTCAGTAACAATAAGCTAACCACACATCCCTGTTTGAGACTGCAGTGTGGGAGAGGCTGAGGTTTAAATTGTACCTGATGTGGGACAACTGTAACTCTGGGGTTGTCCAGGTTGAGCCAGGAGGGAATCTGCCCGTTAGTGACGATGAAGATGTGTCGCACCCAGGGGGCGTGTCTCTCCACCGAGCGCAGCGAATAGCGGAGCTCCTCGTTGTCCTCAAATCGGCTGGCAGACACATCTTCATCCTGTTTGGACTGGAGAGGAAAACCATAAATGGTTAGCCTGTATCTACAGGGGACATTAGTGCTCGCCGTGAACGGGTTTAAAGGAGGATCAGTCGCACCTGTGAGATGGCGGTGAGGTCCCAGAACAAGTAGCCAGGGCTGATGGTTAACTCTTTCCCATCCAGGGTCAGATTCTTTTTGGCCTGCTGCGTCAGATCGGTGAAGTCCTGCGGGGATTTCAGGTGGAGCAGAGCGATGCTGGCCTCAGAGTACAACTCAAACTGAGGGACAAATACAACAGTAAGGTGTTACTTGCTTGAAGGAGTACTCCAGTGATTTGGAATTACACTTTCATAAAGCGTGGTGAACTTTTTAGAGACAGACTTAATGAAAAGAATGGTTAAAATTAAATTTCCATAGTACTTTTGTTCATCCTCAGCTGTACATTTTAGCCTTGCCATTGTGAGCATGTTAGCATTTAGCTCTTTTAAGTCAAAAATCACCACATACAGTGGGAACATCCGAAATAGTAATTTCTCAGTTTTAAAGTCACATGCTCAGCAATGTTGTTCACCCTCAGTTCCACCCTAGCTTGGGACAGAGACCCTCATCGGTGTGTCATGATGACAAGAAGATTCATGGAAGACTGACGGGGTTGACCTCTGACCCTGCAGCTATCTTGATCTACAGAGATCAAATCAAAACAGTTATGATGCTTGGGGGGGAGGCATCTACTGGCTGCTGCAGTCAGAACGTGTGTGTGAGTGTGTGTGTGTGTGTGTTTTAAGAGGTGAGAGTTCAGAAAATTCTGTGATGTCATCGTCTCCATGACGTCTCCATCACATGACCTTTTGCAACGCAGGGTAGGAGAGAAAAATATGTATTTGCGGAACAAGACATCATTTTGGGCTGTGGGAACTTGTAATTGGCATTCTTCACTATAATAGGCTCAAAATAATCAGCAGATTAACTGAGTTTGCCCTCTTACTGTGACATGTGTACATTACATAAACACTTAATACTTGTATTAAATATTTTTATAATGTTTTACCTTTTCATCTTTATCTCATTCTTCTATTAACTTGTATTCCAAATATTATATTACGTGCTAGTGTGTGGCCCTGCACATACTGTGTGAGAAATAAAAACTTGGTAGTGGAGATGAGACACCGTGTGGACAAACGCAAACACGCACAAACACGCTAATGCAAACACATCAGCAGTCTTGTACACAGATGATCGGGGTTGTGGGGCAGCTTTCATCACCACAGCGCTCGGGCTAACACCAGCTATAAATACCGGCCGTCTCTCACACCGCTGAACCTCTCCCTCCAAACTATGCACATCATCCCTCTTTCACAGAATCGGCCGGGCAACACCAGGAAACACCTTGAAACACAAACTGGGTATTGTGGGGTGGCCCTTGAATCACATACACACACACACACTTTCCATTCTGGACTCTGTGTGGCTTCACAGTAACATCTCTACTCCCACACCAAACCCTCCGTTTTAAGAACTGGACTCCAAGCTGTTAAAGCCAGGCGAACATAAACATGCGTAAGATGATGGGGTCGTGTCCAAGAGTGTCGGGACGGTCTGTAAAATCCTTGTGACCTTTTCGGCGTGCTGGCGCCGCGCCACTCCACTCCAAACAGTTGTTCTAATGTTAACCCCAAAACCGCCAGCTAAGGTTACAGCCCGAATGCCGCCGGCTATTATCACATGACCTACCAGGCTGCACCGCAACCACGAACTTGGGAGACAAACGCAGGGAATGATGGGACGCCTGGGTTTGGTGATGATATGCGGGTTAAACACCGTTAACTCGCATGTCATCACATATGTGATAGTACACGTACTGGGTTGTTTCCTGGCGTATAACTTAACAAATGAGGAAAAAAAGATTTTTGTTTCAGTTGATCTTTTGGTGTATATAATTTCAGACAATAGTGAAAATAGCCCGTCATTCTTTACCAACAGACAAGTTAGATTATTTAAATTGCTTGTTTGGTCTGACCTGCAACAAAAACACGAAGATGTTCAGTTTCCTGTCTTAGAAGATCACGAAAACCTGCAAATATTAACAATTGATAAGCTGGAACATGTGAATTTTAGCTTAAAAATGACTTAAATTGATTCCGTCAATCCTCAAATTGATTAATTTACTAATTGTTTCACTTCTAAAACACAGCTGTGGGAGGTTTTTAAGATAGTGACTAATCTTCAAGCTTCTTAAGAGTTTACTGATACCATAAAGCTGCTGTAGAAGGATACAGAGATAGTTACAAAAGACGTTACCTAATCCGTCACCTATTCATTGTAATCAGCCATGCGAGTATATTATTGGAAGACGGGACAAACAGTTGACTCATGCCCGTCTGGTGAGACAGGGTCACTCAGCTCCAGGCTGCACGGTTTTGTTTTCTTTGATTATTTCGGAGTAATCCGCGGTCGTTAGTGGCATTCCTGCCTCTCAAAATATGAAGCAGACTTCTGATTAGAGAAAATTATTAGACACACAAGCCGCCGAGCTAAACAAAGGCCCTTTATCCACATCACAACATAACTGTTTAAAATAGAAAAAGGCCATATTTGGCAGGACAATGCAACCTCCGCTCCAAGGAGGATTTGACATTTGTGTCTGGCCCTTTTTTTTTAGATTGCGATGCTGCTGTGAAGTATAAAAAGATCTTAATTTGTGCACAAGTAAACTGTAAATGTCTGCAGTATGCGAAGTCCTTTAGCGCTGTGATAGGACGCTGTGTGAGTGACATCTGGTGGCAAAGCTCGGTTATGGTAAAGTTGCCTTTTACCTCAACACTGACAGCAGAGATGTCCCGAGCCGGTATTTGGACCAAATAGCAAAAATAAGGCAGAATTTAGAAGACTTATTTTAAGCGTCAGATATTAAGTAAATATAATAAGGACTGATATCAGATATCCCTAGTAATAATTAATAATCTAGTGAGTGATAATCATTAACGTTAAAGAATGTCTCACCTGATTGATCTTATTGGTTATGACAGAGGGCAGTTTGACTCTCAGCTGCTCCGTTTCCTTAAAGGACGCCGGGAAGCCGCTCAGGTAGGCCAGAGACTGCATGCGGATCAGACCCGGAGCCTCTTTATCCGTCGTCTGCAGAACACGCGGCAAAGACGTGCATTTCAATATACCACAACGCCGTATGATCTTTGATAACATTGGTCTTCTGTGATCAAGGGCTGTGTAGTTAACATGTGCAAAGAGGACAGGAGGGAATGCTGAGGGTACAAGTTCAGAGTTAATGGAACTAATAAACTCACCAGATAACATCTGGACACAGAGAACTTCTGGTCTTCTTTAGACACATCTGTAAAGGCTTTATCAGCTGTAAAAAAACAAGGAATTAACTGAGTGTAAAGATATAGTTTAATCTTTGACACATATACATAAAGTGTCATTGGAGTGAAGGCTTAGGAGCTACGCTAGCAATGGAATATTCTCACTTTCATTGTATTGATCATTCATGCTGCTGCTGTTACTGGTAATGCAGATTTGTTGCCACACCGCTGCAGCATTCCCATGTTCTGGTTACTCATTTATCACACTTCAAATATCATCTTTTGCATTGTAAATAATGGTTCATAGCTCAGTGATAATCTGCCTGCTCGGTTCAGTTATTACACCCCACTATGACTCGTCCTTGTGATTTTTACCCTCGGCCTGCGAATGGAAGACGACCACAGAGACGGTGGTGGCGGCGTGGAAGGCTTTGTTCATCAGCAGCAGCTCTTTGGCAGCGGAGAAGGAGGAAGAGAGCGACGGCAGCTCTTTGAGCGTGACGTTGGCTGGCAGAGCGGGGTCCAGGGCCAGCATGGGCGCTATGATGCAGTGGGACAGCAGACATTCTGGCTTAACACTGAAAACAAGACAAAAAACAATAACGCTTTACTCACTGCATCTTCACCCAGATTACCACCTACTCTTTGTGGTTTACACAGTTAGAAATGAGTCAAATTCACAGGTTCAGCAAACAGTTTCCTTTGTGGAAATGTTGCATCGAGTCCCTCTTTGTGTCTGCGGTTAAAACTCACAGATGGGCTTTTTAATCTCGACAGAAAGAGGGGAGGGGACAGAGAGAGACAGCCTAACATTTGGGTGGTGAACAAATTAAATCCCCGTCTTGAATCTTCATTGTCGTTCAGCTTTAGGATTCACATCGCCACCAAAGATGAACATCGGAGTCGAACATACACCTCGTTAGACAGGTCTATCAAGCCGCTGCGTAGACTTGTTTTGCAATAGAGATGCAAGGAGTTACATAATATCAGATTAATATTCAATTGTTTTTACTTCATGGAAAGAATACTGCACATAACAATCAGTTATTAACGACGCTGGGCCTCTTTCGCCTCTATCAAATAACCGACATCCCACCGGTTTACACTCTGCTTGTGGTTTAACACAACCAGACTTCCTGTTTCAACATATAATTCTCACCCTGCTGTCTCATTGTGCCTTTAACAGTCATTTCCATGTGGTTTGAAAATGACTGAATGCCTATGTTAATGTAGGTTTCTTTTAAGATGGCCATTATGAGAGTCATAGACGATATTGTGGCAGAGTTGGAATGTGTTGTACAGGTTCACACCCCATAAACATAGCTTCAGACTCACCTTTCTTTTGGCACTTCAGTTGTTTCACTCGCATTTTTCCCCAGGCGTTCCCTGTGTGCATCGGAACAGTGAATTCATATTATTTGCAGCTTATACAACCTACAGTAGCAACGTTGTATTGAGACTAATGAACCGGGGACTTTCTCCGCAAGAGTTATTCTAACCTTTGATCTTAAGACTCCCTGCTTTCTCCTCCGGGGCAATGTCTGAACAAGCCGATCAGAGTGAAAATGATAATGCTACAGCTCAATTCTGACTATTCAGGTGGAATTTGGAGTGTGTTTGCACTGTATGACAACATACTGCAGGGCTGCGAGACTTTATGCAGTAAAACAAATAGCTATATATACCATTGTATGGGTTACAAGTGTCACTCATAGCTACCTCAGAGCTCTTTGTTCCTCCTCCAGTTGCTCTTTGACCGTCCTCAGTTCCTTCAGCAGAGCCATGTCTGTGCCGTTCACCCATGTGTACACCACATCAATAGGCATGGGCAGACAGAGCCTGCAAAAAGAAACACTCGCAGTCACCCGAGACAATCCTGAAAGTGCGACGCCGTGACCCCGTTTCCCTCCCCAGCGAGTCTGGATTAGTTTGTGTTCACGCATGGTTGCACGTCGTCCTTGTTCTTTCAGATTCCTCCTCAGGGAAGGGTACACGCTGTCCTGTGTGGCTCCCACGAAGGGTTTTGCAGAAAGTGGCCACACTTCTTGTACATTAACATTTGTGAACGAGTTCAAGGAACCCCTCATTGGAAGCATTAAATGCTGTCTCTCACTCACCTGCTTTGGAAAGATTTCCCACCCACGTTGTCTCTGTAGGAGTCAAACAGCACGTGATACTGGTCCCGACTCCACTCCACCACCACCTGTATGGAAAGGAAGGGGGCACACGATGATACAAGTAGTTGCTACATCCCAAATATCACATTCACACAGGGCCACACCGAACCACACTCAAAGACAGGGCAGCTTTCTTTGTTCACTCATTATTTGCACAAGCACACCCTGTTACAATGAGACTTTCTGAATATTTTGGGGATCTTTAGTAAGAGCTCTTCAGTTTAGCAAATGCAACAACAAAAACGTGATAAAATCTAAACGTAAAACGCTTGATATGCGTGGTATTTACACATCTTCCTCAACAGAACTGGTTTAACTTACAACGTGGTGGACTGTCAGTCAGCGAGCCATACGGGACACACTTCTTAAAGACATTTGAGATTTTCCTTTAAATACGTAAAATCAAGTGATTCATTGTGACGCCGAAGTAGTACAAACACCTTAAAGATCCACAAAACGTGAGAGTTAAAGATCTTAAACGTGGGTTTAGTACCGAGCTGGACCGCTTTAAAGAAACAGCCCGTTGTTTGAGTAGGCTGTGGTGGACGGCTCAGGACAACAGCTCGAGGACTAAGGTCTGCTACAAACAACAACATGAATGTCTGGAGTTAAGCACACAGAAGAAGCTCACCTCTCCGAACTGAAAGGCGGAAACTATCATGAGGACGATCCCCCCGAAGCAGATGTAGAGCCCATAGCGGTGGGACAGACAGGTGTACGTCTGCCTCTGCAACAGCTTGAGCACCGAGTTCACGACTACCATGGTTCTCCTTTGCGAAGCATACCGCTGCATTCATTCAAAGAAAACGCGGGTTTAACGCACGGATAAAAGAAAGTAAACATAAGCGACCCGGGTTTGTCAGCTGACCACCAGTCAGACTTGCGTGACACATGACAACCCATACATTCCACTCTTCCTCGGTGGTAGTGACGCTGCTGCTGCTTCTTCTTCTGCGCTTCGAGCCCGCTGTCGCCCTCTGGTGGAGAGGAGCGGGGCTTCGGGGTCAACAGGTGAAGCTTAAGCCACGTCATCGTGGATTTAAAGTCGTGCTTGTGTCCACGTGGAGAATGCAAGTCCTATATTAAAGTGGTTTCCTTGAAAAGAGGTAGATGAGAGTTGTGGGAATGAAAACAGGAAAGGTTTAGGCCATAAAAAAACAAAACAATGAGCTGAAAGACGCTAAAAAAGCTCCACAGAGCTGAAGTGAACTGCATAGTTGGTATATAATTCTCTGTGGGTACGTCGCTACTTGCAACTGTTATTATAAAAAAATATTAAAAGTTAAAATCCATCGTTGTGTTTAAAACTGCAGCTTTACAATTTCTCTTCAAAAAAAGTTCTAAATATTTACTTTGAGATTGTCAGAGGAAAGAAGCCATTGTGAAAATGTTCTCAAAGCCCATGGTGATGTCCTCAAATGTCTTTTTCTGTCCACAGCTCAAAGATATTTAGTTTAGTCATAGAAGCGTGAAAAAAACAGGACATATTCACATTTAAGAAGCTGGAATCAGACATATTTTTTCTTTGGAACTCGCACCAATTAATCAATTATCAAAAGAGTTGGCGATAAATGTAATAGTTGAACACTGGTCTTTTCATCGTCGCAGTCCTAATCTCAATTCTTATCTCCAGCAATGAAAAGTGAACCAAATGTGCTCTGTAACAAAAGCATGTTGGTGTCAGTAGAAAAGCAGAAATACAGCTGCTCAGAACGCGCCTTGTACATCCCAAAATCAACAAAGAGAACCAGAAACTACTGACAACAGTGGAGGTGTCATCACATGATCCAAGTACAGGACTTTGGTCACTTGATAAGCTGTGGTTGTATGAGGGTGGGGTAATAAAAACACTAACACAGTTTTAGTTGTGATGGCGTTGAATGTGGATAGTTGAACTAAACAGCCTCGGCGTAATTCTATGTGAGTCATTTGACAGCTGCTCTAGGAGCACAAACCAGCCGGGCAAAGATCAAAAGTATTTGGCCTTGAAGCAAAATTATGGTCTATGTCAACCTGTCATACTTCCCATAAATCTTAACTTTGCTCTCACCACCTCCATGGTGGAGATAAACATTTTTGCATGGACTATTTTAAACTTTTGTTTCTTAGTTGGAAAGTAAACACAGAGAGCAGCACCCTGGAATAGCTATGTTGTCTAGGGGATCTACATCCATGACAACTTGGCCAACTTTGTTTCTCAGCTCAGGTTACCTTGGAGTCCCCACATGAACCCAGCTTTAGGAACCCAGCCAGAGGCCACATATTCTCAGTCTGGGACCAATCTTCACCACCAGAGAGCAGTAGTAGGAGAAACACAGTACACAGATCATATACTCAATGTAAAATACTCAATACTTAAGTAAAAGCACCACAGTATTAGCAGCAAAGTGTATTTATTGTATCAAAAGTTAATCTTAAAATTCAGAAAAATGGCCCCTGTAACTATTCTATTATATGTTATTAATCTATAACAATACATGTTACAACCTTTTATGCAAAGTAATCAGTAACCAGCTGTAAAATAAAGGTAGTGGAGTAAAAACTATAATATATCCCTTTTGAAACAAATGTGCAGTATCAGTAAAAGGATGACAATTAAAATAGAAAGTACAGTTACTGAAGTACTGTACTTAATTACAACTTTACGGTACATCTCTTTTACTACTTAGCTGACGTCTTCTCTATTTACTTGCGAAATACATATAGTACTTTTACCCAACATCGTATAGTAGCTCCACAATGTTGGCAACTGTAAGAGCCATTTTGTTATTGTTTTGTTTTAGTACAACCTCCCACCACTTGGGGGCGTAGTGCCGGTGTGAATCTGGGCGCAGGTATTATCATCAGTGGGGTCACTGAATACAGGTGGTTGCTAGTAAGCAGAAGCAAACAGTTTTTGACCGTGCACATTTTAATGAAAGTAAATGTTGTGATTTATTTGGAATATGTAGAGGAAATAGATAACGAAAGAGAAAGTGGTCGGCCTCTGTTTATGTGAGAAATAAAATGCCTATATTGGAAACTGGACTTCGTTATTTATGGCACGAGTCAGAACAAACATTTCAGCAACCGTGGTGACTTTTCTTTGGGAAGCAACGGTCACTACAGCAACAAACATCCAAAAATACATGATGATTCAAATGTAAATTCAATAATAAAAGAATATTATAATATGTTTTTATACATTATATACATTCTGCACAATGATTACTTTAAGTGTTTTTTTTTTGCTAAAAACTATTTTTTTTTTTCGGAAATTTAAACTTTAGAATACTTCCCCATCGTAGGTGATTACTGGCACTGACACACCGAAACATTCAACGAGTCTTTTAGGTGGAAACGAAAGGAAGAAAGATGAAGAGAGTACAGGAAGCGCTGGATGGTCATAAGAGGAGGTTTTATTTGCGTAGGTCGGCCCACAGGCAGTGGTTTTAATGGGGAAGAAGTTACTGTACACTGTATACTGTATCCTAAATCAGCTTATCGCTAGAGGCCAAGCTCATTCTTCTTCACACACCACCGTGACTGTCGGTAACTTCACAGCAGCAACGGCAGCAGCAGCAGCGGATCCCGGAGCAGCTTTTACCGAGGATTTGTTTCTACTGTATGGGACTATTTCACGACTTCACCCGTGTCAAAGTCTCTTCTCTGGAGGTTCCGCGTTAACCCTCTCTGAGATGTTTTGGTTCAAGCAAGGACTGTGCTTTCTTCCAGTGTTTTTGGTCATCTGGTCCTCCAGCACTTTTATTGTTTCCTACCTTATTGCGCTTTTCAGAGGTGATATCGACATAATCTTTCCATACATAAGGTGAGTTTTATTCATGCGCTTGTTTTCAGATAAGGGAAGTCATTCTTCGATCTTTATCGAGTGAAATCTGAGCTATAAGAATGCATATCGATGTTTTATTTTGATTTTGGTTTATGAGAGCTGGAGTTTAGTTTCGTTTTCCTCCGCGGTGACTTGGCTGGTACCCAAACTCCAGCTGCACGTCGCCAACTCGAAACATCTGTTACTTTGTGCGGATTTAGACCTCTTCTTTTCACTTCTCCCTTTAAAGGTGGACTTTTATTTTAAGAAGAGACGGCCAAAGTTTACTAGATGTCACAAAAAGAAGTCTAGCTCTAAATAAAGGGAAGTTATCAACACGTGTCTGTGATGTGAGGGCTGACATGCAGATCTGTCTTTCCCCCTTCTCAGTGACACAGGTGCGAAACCCCCAGAGAGCTGCATTTTTGGCCTGATGACATTCATTTCTGCATGCGCAGGTATTTCCACTCCCATCAACATCTGCAACGTCACATCTGTCTCTTTTAGGCAACTCTGGGCTTTCCCAGGGGAGGAACAAAGCTTTCCCAAGATGTTAGTTACAGTTCCCCTTTTTGAGAAAAATGAAAGCAGAATTCCTTTGTCGGAATGCAAGAGGAATTTGCTGTTCGCAAGACGTTTGGGGTAAATGCACTCTGTCATCTTTATGCAGGAACTGCCACCATCTATGCCCGGTACAAGTATGTGGAGAAGCTGAGTGTTGACACAAGGGTGATGAACCCGTGTCTCAATAAAATAGGTTTTGTGTTTGGGATGCTCTCCTGTCTGGGCATGTGCATCGTTGCAACGTTCCAGGTACGTCTTCACGTGTGGTGCACATTTGAATGCCATGAAGATAACTTAACGTTTAACGGCGTATTTGTTCTTCTTTTTTGATTTGCAGGAAACAGCAGTGACAGTAGTTCACCTCATCGGAGCTATGATGTTCTTTGTCTCTGGTGTCGTGTACACAATACTCCAGTCTGTTCTCTCGTATCAAGTCTATCCATTCGGGTCCTCCATGAGTGTGTGTCGAGTACGTGCGGGTATCGCCATCCTTGCCTCTTTGGCTTTTCTCCCCAGTATCCTTTTTCACATGAGTCTAATCTGTTAAAACACATTTAAAAAAGTCTACATGCTTTAGTGTCCTGGTCTGCTATGTTAACCAGCATGACATGCATTAAAACAGGAACTTCCCTTTATGATTGCTACATCATTCTCTTGGAGTTAACAGTAAATACACACAAGTACAAGTGCCAACCGCTGTTAAACACCATTTTTCCTCAATGGATGATTCAGCTGTCATCTGTGCGTTCTTTGTGACACAAACCACGCTGCACAGACACACAGGAGACGAGGTAGGCTGTCGTTTGTCACTATGACATATGCATACATTTTTGCAAAGTTTGCAATCAACACCAATGTGTTGAATATGTGCTGATTGTGTGTGTTTCCCTCTTTCAGGACTATCCCTTCCATCTAGCCAGCGCGGTGTGCGAGTGGGTTGTTGCCTTCAGCTTCATCTGCTTCTTCCTCACATACATCGACGATTTCAAGGTGAGTATCACGCCATCAAACGGAAACTCTTTTTAAAAAAACGTCTTGAATTTACTTCTCAATTGTCTCTCTTTTTTATTTCCTACAGCTGTTTACCTTACGAGTGAAAACAGAATATGCGGAGTAGCCTTGATGAGTCCGCAACTGCCAGCGAAATCAGTATTTTCAAGTAAAAATGTGCTGCATGTTGTTTTTGTGAAGCTTTTACGCATTTTGTACATTTGCATTTTATACCGCGATGCTGTTATAAGATTTGGTCTTCTGTATGACCTGACTGAATTCATTGGTGGATTGAAGGAAGAACATTGTTATGTATACGTTTTGAACAACTGGTCATAGCAGAGAAGAAAAAAACTGATCACAGCCTGTATCTTTATACTTTTTTTTATGATCTCAAATCATTTTTTATACTTATTGCGTCCTATGAACACCACTTTGCACTTTGCTCTCGACTGTTTTAAACTTGCCACACCAGCGTGACACATTCCGTCCCGTCAGACCTGTGAAAAGTAATAAGAGAAGTTCATCACACAGTGAACACATGACAGCTCCGCATGTGGTTAAATGAGCAAACCACTCAAACTGATGTTATGTGAATCTACACTGATACTGTCTGTAAGGAGCCAGAAGCCTGTCTGAAATATTACTTCAATTTTGCTTGTGTCTACAGCCTGTAGCCGGCTCAGGCAATGGGGATTAGACTACTTAATTGATTAGTTTGCTCAGTACAACTGCCAAATGAAATTTCTGTAATAAAAGAAACTTGAATTGAAGCTAATTAGAATTAAAGAAACACGTTTTCAGTGTGCTTTCAGGCAGATCAATGCCGCCTTTATGTATCTGCCTTAGATCAGCGCACACGAGTTTTAAACAGTTCAACTGGAGTGACCTTTCCTTCTAAAATGGTTTAATTTTTAGGAATTTCAGGGGTCTGAAGAGGCAGAGGTTTCCAGGATTTCACACATAAAATGTAATCTTCTGAAGAATAAAATTATTCTCAATATCAGAAATATAAATATATATATATATATTTTAACTTTTGACAATAGATTGTTACAGATTTTAATGATGCAAGTAACATCACGAGGACACTGAGAAGCCCTCCGAGACAAATTTGTGAATTTGGAATTAATAAATAAAATGAACTTGACACATTTGGGAAGTAAATAAATGTTATGTAATACCGTCAGGCTGCTTGAGATGATTTAATTACCTTCAACATATTCCTCTCACATGCTGGGAAGGCTTGTGACACCTTATATTCTGAGAAAACCGTTTGCGTCATCGTGTTGGCTGTTGGCCAAATTAAAGATCACTATCACATTTGAGTATCAGCTGATGTATTTCACTGGCCAGTACTTTTGGAGCATCTCTTTATGGATACATGGTGATGAGGCGATGGGACTAACAAAGTATTTCAAAGAGAAATGCTGTACTGTATTAGTGGTCACATGAACACAGATTATTAACTTGTCCACTACAGATACTGTATTTACAAGGGAAATTATTGTTTTAATTCAAATACTGTATTGGTACTGTTTTGCTTATGACATATTGTACTGCAGAGATTATGGTGCGATGCTGAGCTGAAAATAAAGATACTTTTTTTTTTAAACAAACTGAGTTTATTACAGATCTTGCTTTTGTACACAAAGGGCTCTCCAGACTTCTCCACACTCTTTCTTTTCAGTTGTCATAGCGTAAAATGCATTCGTAGTAGAAATCGTATGAATATTTATTTATTGTGAAAGCATTCCTGACTTCTCCATTTTACATTTGCGGGCATGTAGTCACAAGTCCTGATCTATGAAACAATAAGCTGTAACAATGAACACAGTCAACACAAAATAAATCTGCAGGTACGTTGTTCCAACACGCGGTGTTCCAACACGCGGTGTTTACCACTGATTTGACTCTTAGTGCAAGTCTGTTTGCTCTTCATTCTAGCTGAGGTTAGTGTGCAATACACCGATATTCCTGCAAAACAAACTCTCTACAAACCCAATGAAGATTTAGAAACATGTCCATGGACAAAGTGTTAGCTGTGAAACCACCTAAGCCAGATCAAATATTACGATTCATCATTTATTGTCTTTCATTGTGTCATATCAGGTGTTTTGCAGCAGCTTCACAAAGTATTCAGATTTCAGTTTAGGTTCTTAATAAGTTTGCAAAAAACTTCTAATAACATGTCATTTCTGCGACATTAATGTGTGTAAATTGATGGACAAAACCATGAAATTAAATGCATAACAAATTTCAAAATGTTAAGAGTACTTTCTGAAGTCACTGGAATGTAGTCTAAAATGAACAGTACAAAGAACAGAGGCCTCACACTGAATATACTGTCGTTTTTGTTCCTGCAACTATCAAAATACTTCAGTGACGGCTGAATTTTAGGAAGGAACATCACATGCTGAACGACATGTGATTTCCCTTCCCATTAAACTGGTATTGTGATATACCGTACATCAAAACTGAAAGTATATTGTATTTTTCCTCCCTTTGCTTAACACACAGAGTTACAATGTACGTGTCAAACATACATTTTTGTAATAACTTTCAACTGATGAGTGTATCTCTTAAAGGCATTACACTGTGATAGTAGTGTGACAATCGAAGAAGAACAATAACTTTTGCAGTATAGAATTACTTTTTGTACAAAAATGACTTTCTACTGCCATGTTTTGAGGTCTACTGCTAAAATACTCAACGGGGAATTATTCCCTCTTTGTCAAAAATGCTAAATGTATCAAAATTGAGGTCGCTGACCAACCGTAAGCGAAACAATCTCAGTGCTTTTACACTGAAATTACAATCACTCTGGTTGGCGTTTTCCCCGTTTCAGGCACTTACATTTGCACCTTCACGCTGATGCTCCTTTACAAGCACACTGCAACCAACTTCTCTTTCTCAGAACAGGTGTACAGAAGCTCAGAGTAGCGATGAGTGGCCTTTACAGGAAGCTGTGTGGGTGATGGGGGACAGAGGAAATGTCAGTCGCTGAAAGACGACTCGCTGTCAGAGCTGGTGGCAGCAGAGTCCTGATCCTCTGCGCTCCTCGTTCCTCCATCAGGCACGGGGGCGTCCGGTGTGCTGTCATCAGCAGTGGAGGCAATGTTATTGGTCAGTTTCATAAAATAAAAATATAAGATCATCACCACAACAGTAACAGTAAAACACTCACTCAAGCAAGTTGGGATCCAAACCCTCCAGGACCATTTTATTCTTTATAGCCATAACTGGAACTCCCTGTGACAGATAAAACATGCATTGAGATACAGAACATTCTGATATTTTTAT